TGCTGCCGGAGCCGCTTCCCTGACACACTGAAATCTCCACCCCCTTCGCTGCACTCTGGCGGGGAGGCTGGTCCTGACACCCAGCTGCCACTTTGGGATGCCCAGCTGGCCCCCTGCTCCTGACACGTCCCCCCTGGGGCTCCCTGGGCTTGACCACCGGCGCCCCTTCTGGGAATCCTCTGATTCGCTGGAAAGACTCATGGAATCTCTTGAGTCATTGTCATCCTCTTCCTCGCTGTCCTGGGATTCATCCCCATCGCTCTCCATCTCCTGCCTACCCTGTGCCTCTGTCCCTGAACCCCTGACAGGTACTTTTAAACTTTTTTTACAATTTATTATATATCATTTCCCAATATTCTGTTACCCTTTATCAAGTCCCCATCCCAAAACTTTCACAGGTGCAAGCTGTATTGAAAGTGGGATCCACATGTGACTGCTCTGATAGCATCGTGGGCACAAATCATCATGTACGTGCCATAAAAAGGATGCTTTGAGGGGCTCTTTGTAGAGTTTAGCTGGGTGTAACCCAGTGGGGTTTTTACTTCTGAAGAAAGATGCAAAGAGGATCAGACTGCAAGGGGCAGTGCGGCAGGTTCCTGCAATGTTCCTGCATTATTTCTGTCCAGAGAGGCGCTCTTGCCCTCTAGCTTTCTTTTCTAGAAAAAAGAAAAGCTTTTAATTATTACATCTCCTCTTCCATTTCCATGCATACCCCTCTTCCCCAGTTGCAGAAATAAATCCACTCCACGGGTTTTCATCTGGTGGTTCATGCCTTTTACACACTGTTAATGCGTTTTGCTCTTATTTGTTTATTTAAAGCCCCCCAAATATGGGCTGCTTCCCCTACCTGCCGCCGTAAAGAGAGAAGCAAATGAGAAGGCTGTCGATAAATATTCTGGGCCAACCCTACGTGCTGATGGATGCAGGGGGTAAACGGCTAGACAGCTGCTGCAGACAGACAGATAGCTGCAGCAGATATCCAGATAACTGTAGACTAAGGGATACAGGAGATATATAGACACTTCATGCAGAATCCGGGCAGAGCTCTGCTAGACAGATAGCCCTGTAAGCAAATCAATGGCTACTGTACACAGAAGGACAGCAAGACAAAGCAAGAGGCAGGAAGAATAGGTTTTGAGGAGCAAGGGACCACATTTGTACATGTCACACAGATTGGAAGCAGCAAAGTGTGGACCTGAAATCTCCCCTTCAGCAGGTTGGAACTATGGTGGCTTCCAAAGTCTTGCTACTTTTTTAGGAGGGGGGTTCTATCTCATACTGGAGAATTACAGCAGTTTGCGAAATCTCTCCTGGAAAAAAAATATAGTTTATTGTTTCCACTACAACCAGCAATATTCAACAAACCCAGCCAACCCCACAGAAGCACCCAATGTCTAGTTACACTTAGTTTTAGAGTCAGTTCAGTTTTTAAGCAAATGTTTCATTCCACAAGTTGCTATGTGTTCTCAGAAGCCTATAACCTTGTTTTATAGAAATTGCGTATGTAATAAAACTAGGTCAGGAAAAGTGGTGGTTTTTTGGTCCATTCAGCTCTCTTGGACATAGGTCGTCAGTTTGTCCCTTGTTATTCGGTCCCAAAGTTGTGAGATCCAGATCTCAAAGGCATTTAGAGCCTTCCAATACCTTGCCACAGTAAGCTACATATATAAAGCAATCATCAGGTGAGTAATGAGCTTGACAGCTTTAAGAAAAATGCAGAGAGCAAACCCAACCCTGTATATGGCATTTATTGACCTGACTAAGGCCTTCAACACTTTAAATTGCACTGCCCTGTGGACTGTCCTTTTGAAAATCGGCTGCCCAGGTAAATTCGGCTCCTCCACAGTAACATGGTGGCAACAATTGCGGATAACAGTGGCTCTCATACTGAACCATTCACAGTGGGATCAGGCGTTAAACAGTGACGAGTTATCGCCCCAACTCTATTTATTATCTTCATCGCCATAATCCCACACTTTGTCGAAGGGAAACTCCCCACCAGAGTAGAAATCATATATCGAACAGATGGAAAGCTCTTCAATCTGAGTAGGGTGAAACCAAAGAGTAAGGTTACTGTAACTTCCGTCATAGAGCTTCAGTATGCTGATGACAATATAGTGTGTGCACACTCAGAGGATGACCTCCAAACCATCCTAAATATCTTTGCAGAAGCTTACGGAAACCTTAGCTTATCGCTCAATATCCCAAAACCCAAGGTGCTGCACCAACAAGCACAAAATAACCCCTTTGCAGCGCCACAAATCCAACTCAGTGGTGTGACGTTGGAAAATGTTGACAGCTTTTCCTACCTGGGCAGTTATCTTTCCACAAGGGCCAACATCGATGCCAAAATCCAGCGCCACCTGAGCTCTGCGAGTGTGGCTTTCTCCTGACTGAAGTGTTTAAGGACCCGGACATTCACAGGAAAACCAAAATGCCATTGTACTATCATTGAACATTCATGGGATTACGATATGCTGGCACTTCCGTCCCTGAAATTTCAATAAATATTTTCAAAATAATTGTTTTGAAAAACTTGTAAAAAGGTAAAAGTATACTGAAATGATTTATAATGAATAAAAAAAAATTGTTTAAAACTACTTCCCCCCAAAAAACCAGAGTCCTTTTTGTTGGGAATAACCCAGACAGAAATTCCTAGGTGTCAAAAAAGATTATTTATGTATGTAACAACTGCAGCCCGTGTTTTGTTAGCCCAAAAATGGAAAGTGAGCGAGGTCCCAACTAAAGAGGATTGGCAACTTAAGTTGACAGAATATCCAGAACTTGCAGATTTAACACAAAGAATAAGAGAGCAAGAAGAACATATAGTTGAAGAAGAGTGGGAAACATTTATTGAATATATGGAAAATAACTGTATACAGCTAAAAACACTGGAGGCATTAAGATAAATTCAACAGAATAAATAATTTTTGATGGATGTAAAAGTTTTAAAACTGATTTGAATGGTTTAGTAAAATATGCAGGAATATATGATATGTAAAATGAACCATGGAAAGAGAAGGGAAGTCACTGGATATTTTAAAGTTTGTAAAATGCTTATTTGGAATTGTAAAATTAAAAACTTAATTTTTTTTAAAAAAAAATACAAAACACCTTTTTCGTAATAGTAAATCCAGCTATGTTTGTTTCACTTTACGTAGGAAATCTTGTTTCAATAATTGACTAGCTCTAATGAACTGCCTGCACACCATTTCCTTCTTTTTCCAGGTTGTGAGTATGGCATGTGTTCATGATTAATGGTCTCATTCCCCCTTCTGTTAAATAGCCCTAGATTTTCTGGAAGGGAGTGGGGCATAATAAAATTGTGCAAACCAAAATGTAGTATCGGTTACATGGTTGCAATTCATGTTACAAAACAAACATCAAAGTTTTCGGAAACGATTACGAAATCTTACACAGGTTAAGCATGCAGAGATGAAAGAGCGTCAAAATTACGAAAGGGAAAGAACTGCGAAACAGGATGGGCTGAACAACTCACGAAAAATGAAGGAAGCGAGATGATATCTCCAATTCCATCCCTAGTCCACAGCTGGGTAAGAACACGACTAGGAGAAACCCAAAAGTCACAAAATGTGACAAGCATTTTGAGTTCACCAGAGCTCTTCATCAAGCAAGACGTTTCACAGCGGGACGAGGAAAAATAGCAATGAAAGAAGTGAAATAATTAGGCTGGATGTTACACTCATGAGGTCTGCTCAGAGATCAAGCCAGAGGTGGCCTGTTTATTGAGCCATTCATCCTGATGCATTTGCAGGGAGATTAGACGATCTCAACTATTTATTCTGATTTCCTTGCAGGTAGTTTAGACGACGTTGTGTCAAGCAAGTGTTATCCCACGTTTTCCAGTGCAAGTAGAGAGAGGCAAGTAGGAGACTATGTTAACACAACAGAGTCTTCCCCCAAACTGCTGCCCTCCAGATGTTTTGAACTACAACTCCCAGCCAGCGCAGATTCTGCACTTCCAGAAATAAGCATGGCAGGGGTTCGAATGGACGAGCCTCTGGTCCCTTCCAGCTCTGCAACTCTATGAAGCCATGAGCTAGCGGCAGTAGCGGGAACTGTCTCCCTGCAGATAGGAAGTTGTGCTTGAAGCTTCTGGACTGTGTGAACGACCTCTTACAGCCTTGAATGGGATTGTTTGACCCTTGACAGCTGAAGCATCACCTGACTTCTCAAGAGTTGACCCCCTGCCAGTATTCCCACTTTGCTTTTACCCTGCTGGCTGGGCCTGACCCCGAAAGGGACGGCACAATGTCTGCTCCCAAGAGTTAGAAAACGCATCCAGCAGCAATCCGACCGAGAGAGGCAACATGATCTTGCTTCTGCGGGTCACCGTGATGGCAGGGAAGGTCACCGCAAAGGACCGACCCTTCCCGTTAACGGCGTGTTGAGCAGAGTGGCCCCCAAACGTGCAGAGAGACTGCCTGCAATTGGGTTATTGACACACAATCTGCGGAAAACACTATCGAGATGGTTCACACTAATGTTATTTAGCTGCAATACTTCCGTAATAAAAGGAATCAATGGGGGAGAGAAAAGACCTGTCTGGGGGTTTGATTTTCTCATTTTAATGGCATACTTATTTACTCCCGCCAGCCCTCAGATCGGATTTTCATTACACCAGCTTGCGCTGTAAGTGGACCGGTATTGATAGGAGATGCTGACTTCAGCTGGCTTCCCGAGGGCACAAATTAAAAATTACTCATATTCAGTGACACGGCAGTGTGCTAAATGACTGGGCACGTAATGGTTGTGCAGTTATTTGGGAGCACATAAAGTTTTTAACATACATGGTCACGGGTGTGTACACCAGCCCACAGAACCAGGCATGTTTTCCATGGCTTCCTGTATGATGTTGAAGAGAAAGCCTTTTTAGGAGCATAGGAAAGAGCCTTTTACTGCATCAGACCACTGTTCCATCTCTAGCTCATGGCTGTCTGTGCTGACTGGAAATGTCTCCCCAGGTTCTCAGCCCTACCTGGAGATCCCAGGATTTGAACATGGGACCTTCTGCTTGCAAGGCAGAGGCTCTTCCTCTGAGCTACAGACCTTTCCTTGGATGTTAAGGTGGAGCTCTAGTTATGAGTACCCGGGTGTATGGGGCACAGAGGAAGGCATTTGAGCAGGGTAGCAGGAACCCTGCTTAGAGGTCGACATTCTTTGTTCAGTATGTTAACGGAGGAATCCGAGGGCTCCCTTGGACAAGAAACAAAGACACCAACCAGGACAACTTGGAGCAAAACAGCAGCCTGTAGGCTTGGCCTTTATTGGAAACTGTCGCGACAGGACTCCCACCCACAACAAGATGAAGCAAGATGGAAGTCCTGAACAAAAGGAGACCCCAACTTTTATTAGCTACTAATCCCCCAAGCTACACCCCTAGAACTACATCCCAACTACATCATGACAACATCATTGACACATCACAAAAAGGAGGGGTTGAGGGAGGGGTTGTGGAAGTAACCTGAGTATCTTGTCACCTGGCTGGTTCCTCCTTTCCCCCTCCCCATGAGTCATTTCCAGAGGACAAAAGGGAGTTGGCAGTTTCCTGCCCCCAGGGGGAAGATCTGATCATTGTCCTTTGTTCCAGTCAGTGTTGAATCCACTCCCATATGCAAGTCTGTTGTGTCCTTGATGGTCTTCTGTCTGGGACCATCAAAGTTGCCATGAGTACGGTTATGGCCATCCTGTATCAAACCGTCCCCCTTTGATAGTCCTTCCTTCATGGAGCAAAATAAAAGTGGACCGGTGTAAATCCGATGTACGGTTGATTTACTATGAATTTATAACAGAAACATCGCGTATGTCGTGTGTGAGTGTTGTGTTTGTACAAACTGAATGATTGGGGGGGGGGTTCCTGCAACAAGTATAAACTGTGGCAGAAGGAGGAAAACTGGGGAAAGGGGGAGTCTGTGAGCTGTGGGGAGGAATAAACATAAGAATTTCCTTGTTGGATCAGACTCAGAGTCCATCCAACTGCCTTACTTCATCAGAACAGGGGCATCAAAGGCAGGACTTTCTGTGTCCTAGACTGCAGGGTGCTTTTCCTGGCACACTCCACCAGACCTCCTCTATCTGCTTTGAAATGCACAGCCAAAATGGTTGCCACAGACTTAGTTCTCCCATTTTAATCCCAGCTGATGGCTGTGTTGGATTGTTTTGCCTCTGCGCTTGACTAGAATTGCTGTGTGATATGTTTAGCAGTCATTTTAAATGTGTTAAAATTCACTGTTGTGTTCATTTGATAAGCCACTTTGGTTGTAAGTTTTGTAAGACGGCAAAGCAGAAGTATGGCGAGTAAATCAATCTGCCTCCTGTTCCCCATGGCAGCTATCCAAATGTCCCCAGGATGCTGAACAAGACCACAACAGACATTTATGATGACTGTGGTGTCCCCAACATATGGAGGACATCAAGCTAGAAACTGGTGAGTCAGTGTCTTGATGGACTGAATGGACTTGATGGGGTTACCAAAGCTTTACTCAGGCAACACAGAAATGCTTCTCATTGGTAGAAATACCAACACAGAAGGCTAGGAGCCCACCCGTTCTTGGATGGGGTACTGCAGGAATCAAGAACCTCAAGATTCCAGTCCTCAAGACCCTCCACAGGCCACACCCCTTAAGAGATGTACATATGGAGACACTTTCATGCGGCTAGAATACAGCATGCTGCGGAAAGTTTGTGTTGCTTCTGTTGCTCTGCTTCCTTCTGCCCCTGACCTTGCCCGCCACTGACATACAACCCATGAATGGTTGCCCATGAAGGAATGTAGCCCTTGAGCGGGAAATGGTTCCTCATGCATCCCTTGAGAGTTCAGGCCTTCCACTCAGATCCCTTAGAGGATTTAAGGTGAACCAGGGCTGCAGAGGCTGAGGGCTCATCCACAGTCCTGCTTGTGCTGTGCCTAGAAAGCAGCTTCCCCCTTCTCCCGCTCCTTTCCATGGGACCCACTCTTTAGTGATAGATCAGAACAAACAGCAATCTGGGGAAACCCACAAATTGCCATTTGGTCCAACTGAGCGCTAAAGAGTGGTCTTCCCAGGGGGAAAGTAGCAGGACAATGCTTTCTAGGCACGGGACAAGCGGAAGTGTGGACCCCTGAGAAGAGAGGTGCCAAGTGCCTTTGCCTCACCACTGTCTTTCCACATTGAATCTTTGCAAACATCCTGCACCCATCACTGGGCTACCCAGCCAGATGGGTGGGATAGAAGTAATAAATGTTGATGATGGTGTGAAACCAGGCAACAGGGCTCTTCTCTGCCCCGAGGGTGGGATCGGGGCTTCTAGGTATGAGCCCCAATGCTGACCTTTTCAGAAACTAGTGGATTTTTTCAGTCAATACTAGCCTTCCTTTCCTAACACGAAGTGAAGCTCAAATGCTTTGTAAACAAGTAAAGACTGCTATTCTGCATTGATTTTTAAAAAATACTTATTGTACTGTATTGTATTACTGTACATGCTGTAATGCCTTCTGGAAGCCCATTACAGATGATTTTCCACACCTTTAAAAACACTTTTCCAGACAGTGTGAAGGTCGGTATAGAAATGTAATTAATAATAATAATAATAATAATAGTAAAAATTAAAAACTTTGGCCTTCCAGATGTTGCTGAACTCCCGTTATCCACTAGGCTTGCTTGCTGGGTCTGATTAGAGTTATAGTTCAGCAGCATCTGGAGGGCCAGATGTTCCCCTCCCCTGAAGTATATGAACTGTCTCTCAGTTGAATCCTAATCTTTGAGGATCTGAAGTTTCTGCAGGATTCTGTTCACAGAAATGGCTCTGCAATAATTAATTTCATTGTTCCCAGCATACACTTGGGAATCTGATGTTTTTAAAAGAAGATGTCCGCAATGTGAATCTGTGAGAGGAAATTAAGCTTATCTAATTTAATGGTTTTAGGTTATTTTAAAAAGCAACACTGTTTTGAAAAGTAGAAAATTGGCTCTCAGAAACGGGGTGAGGGAGGTGAGTTCATGGTATCAATTTTCTGTGTGAGCATCCGAAGACAACATCTAGTACCTAGCATGCCAATGTTCTGTGAAACATGGTGGACTATAAAATACAAGAATATCTGTGTGTTTGCGGATAATTACCCAAGCGTTGTATTGCAACTTGAACAGCTAGCAGGACCAAGCAGCATCCAGACAAGATGACTCCCGGTTGCTCTGTGCATTATGCACATAATTTTTTTATTGTTTGCATTGTGATCCTAAGCCCATATTATTCTGTGCTATGGCTCCAGTCACCCAACAGCTGCAATCTGCACAGTTATTTTTACCAGAAATGAAAGCACATCTACGAGAGTTGCTGAGAATAAATGAACAACGTGGGGAGGCTAGCAGGAAGAGCTTTAGGACGACAACAGAGATGTGCAAGTGGATATAGAAACCGCACAACAGGAAAAACTGTGCCAATTGATACACAGAGAGTTCTACTTGTGACCCATCTAATTCCCCACCCAGACCCACCTGTAACCTCACTAAGGGCAAATTCATGGAGAACAAGGGTATTAATGGTTACTAGCCACGGTGGCTGGGACGTGGGTGGTGCTGTGGGTTAAACCACAGAGCCTAGGACTTGCCGATCAGAAGGTCGGTGGTTCGAATCCCCGTGACGGGGTGAGCTCCCGTTGCTCAGTCCCAGCTCCTGCCAACCTAGCAGTTCAAAAGTACGTCAAAGTGCAAGTAGATAAATAGGTACCACTCTGGCGGGAAGGTAAACGGCGTTTCCGTGCGCTGCTCTGGTTTGCCAGAAGCGGCTTAGTCATGCTGGCCACATGACCCGGAAGCTGTACGCCGGCTCCCTCGGCCAATAAAGCGAGATGAGCGCTGCAACCCCAGAGTCGGCCACGACTGGACCTAATGGTCAGGGGTCCCTTTACCTTTACCTAGCCACGGTGGCTACATTCTCCCTTGCTGGAGGCAGCAATGGATAGAGAAAAGTTTTCCTCCCTCTCTCAAAACACTAGGGCTTATGGACAACCGCTGAAGCTGAAGGTTGGGAGATTCAGGACGGATAAAAGGAAAGTCTTTTTTCCCCATGCAGCGCACAATTAAACTACGGAACTCCCTGCCACAAGAGGCAGGGATGGCCACCCACCTGGATGGCTTTAAAAGAGGATTCATGGAGGCAGAAAAACCTCCGGATCCGGCTTATCCTATTAAGGGCCTCATCCCACCCCAGGGCTCTATCTTCAGTTCCCAAATTTTAAATGGCACTGACAAGCGGCGAGAGAGATGCTTTGCCTCCCTCAACTAGGTGCCCTCCGTCGCTTCCGGACTCCATTTCCCAGCATTCCCAGCGCCGCTGCAGCCGCGGCTGATGGGAGTTGTAGTCCTCGACCTCGGGAGGCGGCAAGGCTTTCCGCGACGGATCCGGAATCCCAGAGCAGCAACCCGGCCTCCCCCGCCCTGGCTAAAGTTCCTTTATCCGGGGCCTCGCAGCGGAGAACTAGGCCTCGACGTCTCCATGGCAACGCTGAAAGCCGCTTCCGGGTCGCGAGAGGGCCAACTTCCGGGGCTACGCATAGAGAAGCTTGAAGAGATAGGGCAAGCCGTTAAGGAATATGACGCCATCACGTCCCCCCTCCGAGGCCCCGCCCTCGCGCCGCCCTAACTTCCGGCGGGCGTCGCTTCTGATTGGCTCCTTTCCCGCCCGGCATCCGCCGGCGCTTCGGGTGTTGCCAAGATGGCGGCGGCGGCGGCTATGGAGGTGCAGCAGCTTCAGGGCCGGCTCGACGCCTTGGAGGGGCGCGTCTTCGGGGCGCCCGCGGGGAGTGAAGGCGCGGCGGGGGCCCGAAAGGTATCGCTGCTGCTGCGGCCGTGTTTCTTTCTAGCTAGAACCACAGTTATTTATTCGTAGGCCGCCTTTTCCCCTGTCAGGGACTCGAGGCGGCTTGCAGATTAAAAGTCAGAAGAGCCGAAAGCGGGTCTGCTTCGGGCCTGGCTCCTGGACGAGGCCTATATCTCCGGCCTCGAGGCTAAAACTGGCTGGCAGCCGCTCTCGGGGCGTTTCCCCAGTTCCTACATGGAAGCGCTGCCGGTGACGGAAGCAGCCGCCTCCTACAGAGCCAGACCCTCATTTATCGTCTTCCAAAGCAACTACACTACTCTATTCCGAACTTAAGAATGGAAAGCGTAATGCTGGTGGTCAACAAAAGAGGTTTAAAGACTGTTTCAAGGCGAATCTAAAAAATGTAGTATAAACACTGACAACTGGGAAACACTTGCCTGCGAGCGCTCCAGTTGGAGAACAGCCTTGACCAAAGGTGTCGTGGGCTTTGAAGACACTCGAACTCAGGACGCAAGAGAGAAACGTGCTAGGAGGAAGGCACGCTTGGCAAATCCACACTGTGATCAACTCTCGCCCGGAAACCAATGTCCCCACTGTGGAAGGACATGTGGATCCAGAACTGGCCTCCACAGTCACAGACTCATTGTTAAAACCGTGTTTATGGAAGACAATCTTGCTCAGCTAGGAGGGATCACTAAAGAAGAAGATTATAAACCCAGAGGTCTCAGGCCCTTGGCTTGTCCAGCTCAGCATGGCCTGTGTTGGTGGTTCCCCTTGGTTCCTTAAGCTCATTCCTGGTTCGCCCTGCCCCCATTCTCCAAGGAAGAAAACTCTCAAGCTGACAGAATGCCCGGTTTTAATAATTATTTTTAAACCGTGTCATATAATTGCTGCTTTTCAATGCATCTATGCTTTTTTTTCTTTTTTTGGCAATGGCTTTGAGTACACAAGCAAATCATATCCATAGCCAATCATCCCCAGTGGCCCCTACCCTATTAAAAAGCATTGTTCAGAATAGCTGTTTGCACAACACTCTCCTCCCAGGTATTCCCACCATGGACAGCACTCCCTCACACACATGCATGCAGTCATGCCTTCATGCATAAACTATTGCATACAAACACCCAAGCACACATTTGGTATTTGCAGCCCTCCCCTCTCCATTGGGGTGAGGGTGGCAGAAACACTGCCTTTTACTCTCAAAGAGGGGTTTTATTTCCCATCTGGAGATGAAGCTGCAGGTGTGGCAGGTCACTCACTGTCTCTGGTTTACTGGACCAGATCCAGCTCGGTGGTTAGCCATTCCTGCTGTATATAATTTGTCTTATAAGTTGTTAACAATGTCCTTTTTCTTGTAGATAGCAGATGGCTTGGTTAAAGTCCAGGTGGCTTTGGGGAACATTGCAAGCAAAAGAGAGCGAGTTAAAATTCTTTTCAAAAAAAGTAAGTGCCGTTTGTATTTTTCAAAACAAATCAATCTGCAATAGGCTTAGGAGCAGCTAAAATAAGGAGTGTTTTAAAATTGTCAGAGACTGCAGAACTCCAGATAATTTATTGTGGTGAGGTGATGTCAGTGGGGGAAGTGAATCATTTGAACATAAAGTAGCGATGACTTCCTAAAGTTGCAATGAACAGCATAATGTTTTCTTGATCCTGTGATGATGATGTGGCTGTGGCTTCTGTAGTAGTGGCTGCATCTATGGCAGTCTTCTGTGGTCTCTGGAATAAAATTAATACGAAATCCAAAGCAGTTATTGTGGGTTTATGGAAACTTGTTTGGCGCTGTAAAAGTAGTCAGTGGGGGTGGCATAAAGAATAAGATTTAAGATTGTCCTAGGAGTCCTATCTTCAGAGTCATTCACATGCTGTGTTAAGGCGGTGATGACTTAGAAACAGGCCTTCTCTGTAGTGGCACCCAATTTGTGGAAATTCTGGCCAAACTTTATATGCCTCTTTGTTTTTGTCTTCTCTGCACAGCATAAAAATGCTTTTCTTTACTTAAAGTGATAATAGTTCTTTACTTTAGATTTGCTATTAAATTTATTTAAGACTGGTATCTGGACATTTTATGTGCTTTTGTACAACTGAGAAAATAGTGGTTTGCTAAAGATGGTGTAATGGCATCGTGGCTTATTGTGAATGTCCCTTGACCCTCATGGCAAATTCATGGCTATAAGTCCTAGAAAAATTATTGAAAGTCATAACTGGCTCTGATCTGTTTCCAAGTATTCTGCCTAATCTGACAGTACTTTTTCTGTCATTGCTATGTTCTAAATTTCTGATTCTCTCTTCTTTCTGATTCAAGTTGAAGATGTCATAAAATATTTAGATCCCCAGTACATTGATCGAATGGCTATTCCAGATGCTATGAAGCTGCAATTCATTTTAGCAGGTAATTCACAATATGAAATAGTTTTGGGGGTTGTTGTTTTGTTTTGGGTTATTCAATGTGCAGTGCATCCCTAAACATGTCTTTCTAGAAGTAAGCCCCACTGAATTCAGTGGCACTTACTCCCGGGTAAATGGGTATAGGATTGCAGCCTTAGATGCTTAATGTTGTTACTGGGGATGTTTTCAGCATCCCTTTTTATTGCTTAGAATACTTGAAGAAGAATACTTGGACTCTTAATGTCATATTCTAGATGCATTAATCTGTTCTTTAAGCATTCTGTCTTGCTTCAGCCCAACTAAAGAGCCAGCTCCTTTCATTCGTTCATCTGCTGTGCTATTTGCTCTGTTGCCATTGAATGACAAAGTCGACTACACTTCCCTCCACTGATGTATCTCATTCTGCTCTTCTCCAACAGAAGAGCAGTCCATCCTGGCTCAGGCAGCACTTCTGGAGCAAGTCAACAACCTGCAGCCATATTTGGACAGTGCACATATCAAAGGCAAGTCTTGTCCCTGATCCAAGTACCAAGAGCTAAGATACACATCTGTTGCGGCTGGTTCATTCTGACTCACATTATGTTTTTATGCATTTACAGGCATTTTTGTGAAAATCATTGCATAATAATTCCATCTTCTTGTTTTGTAATATTGTTATCTACAAGCCTGGGTTATATGTCTTTAAAAACAGAATGCCAAGCTAGCCCAGAAGAATTGCTCCCTGCCATTAAAGGGGGGGGGGGCCTGGATCATTGGCCTAATTCAGCAGGCTATTATTCCCACCAAGAAGAGAGGACCTATTTATAGACATTTATAGCTGAGCTACTTGCCACCTTTCCTCCTAAAACTAGCCCCCTAGTTGTCTTTATACATATCCCATATGGAAGCCTGTTTCAAGGACATTACATCAGAACACCTAATAGTATTGAGTACCATTCCTGAGAATCAAGAGCCCGACACTCATTCTGTAGTCTCTTGCAGCTGCTCCTGACCACGCTACCAAGCTGCAGAGGCTTTCACAGATCCACATTCAGCAGCAGGTAAGCTGAACAAAAGCAGAGAATCATTGTTTGGTTTCCTCCGCTCTTCTCTTCAGTCGAAAAACTTGGCAGGAGCTGATACAGTTATCCTCTAGCTTTATCTTCTGTCACTCATAAGCAAAGCATATGAAGAAATTCTCCATATGCCCTGGACAAATGACCCCCTGCTTACTCGGCATTCTAGGCCAAGCACTCTGGTATTTTGAGGTGCTCCTTCTTACACCAGAGCCAGTGTGGTGTAGTGGTTAAGCGTGGTGGACTCCTAATCTGGGGAACCGGGTTCGCGTCTCCGCTCCTCCACATGCAGCTGCTGGGTGACCTTGGGCCGGTCACACTTCTCTGAAGTCTCTCAGCCCCACTCACCTCACAGAGTGTTTGTTGTGAGGGAGGAAGGGAAAGGAGAATGTTAGCCGCTTTGAGACTCCTTCAGGTAGTGATAAAGCGGGATATCAAATCCAAACTCTTCTTTTACACAGTTGCATAGTTGAGTTTTCTAAAATCTGGACTCAGATGTTCTGATGCAGGACAGCAGGAGCCTCAAAGTCCCCAGCTGTATTGATTCCCTTCCCCCTTTTAGCAGTGCGTCAGGAAACGTTGCCATCCACACTTAAGAATGTCTGCCCACGTGGCAGCTCTTCTGTGGGAAGAAACAACCTTTGTTAGACTTACATCTTAGCACTGAAACACCAAATTGGCAACGTCATGAAACCCTGTCTGACTGAACCCTTCCGCTGTTGCAGGATCAATGCGAAGCAGTGACTGAGAACGTCCGGTTTCTCCTAGAAGATTACAACCAAATGGTATCCTTTTTGCCGCAGTGCCGCTGTGTACATCATCCCGCAGGGTGTGCCTTTGCTGGCTGCCATGTTGAGGGACATCTGCCCCAGCTGTGTCAGCTCAGCTTTCCACTACCTGCCGCAATACTTCCATCTCGGACTATTTCCGGTCTTCCCTTTAAAGTCCTTCCCTTTTGGTGCTCTCTCTCTTCTGCTTTTGCTGATTGTGTTTGTCAGACTCCCAACTTCTTTTCCTTAAAAGATTGCCCCAGACACTTCTTCTTTCTAAACAGTTTGTCCAGTGGGACGAAATGCTGACCCAGCTTGAAGCAGCAAAGCAAGTCAAGCCTGTGCCCGAGTGAGGGCAAAGCGGCAGCTGGGTATCAGCTGGCACCTGTGGCTTTCTAGCATCCTCCATATTCTCCTTGAATCTCGCAGAGGCTCTGCTGGTGGTTCTTAGAAATGATATCATGGGTATTCATCTGTAAGCCACATTTTCTCCTTTCCTGGCCTTACTGTGGGGCTCAATGTCTGTATATATTTCTTTTCCAGCTTATCATTTCCTCTTTTATTTATTTTACTCAACCAATAGGTTGAAGGAGCGTGTTCTGTCACACTGTGGACAACAATAAAATCCTAACAACCCCCAGTGCTGATGTGACTGTTGTGTAGAGAAATGAGGCAATTCAGCTCAGCGTTTGCATTTCATTCGTATTTGTTTATAAAAATTAATAGTTCACTGTTCTCAGTGCACACAGCAATCGCATTAAGGAACACACTGTTATATGTTAAATTTTAAAAACCTCATTAAAGTAAAACCTAGTGTGTTGGAACTCCACCCCACAGCATCCTGAGCTACCCAAAATATTATCCACAGCTTCTAGAAGGTGGTTCCCTTCACTTCTGGAAATTGTCAGGAGGGGAGAATTCTGTGAGTAAGAGGAAGCCAGCAAGGTTGACTCTCTACATGCAAATGTGATACATGCACGAGAAGATGGAGAGGGAGCTCTTGGTAGTTCTTGGAGAATGTGTGGGGATTGCAGGTCTCAGATGGGTTGGGCCCACTTCCTTTAAGAACTGACACTTCAATTTGAGTCTAGATGGAGCAGCTTGAACGTAGAACTGTGGCATAATCTGTTTCTGGTGACCAGCTCTTTTGCCAAAGAGGCCTCTCTGCTATGCCCTGGTCGAAGCTTTTGAACAATGCTCAAGAGCAGCATAAAACGGGGTTTGTTTTTATTATGTGTTTTGTAAACTCTTTCTGTATTTTTATGTTGTGAACCACCATGAGATCTTTGGATGAAGGGCGGCATACAAATTTAACGAATAAATACATAAATAATAAACCCACTCACAGTGCTTTTCAGGAGCCTTTAGTCTAGGAAAGCCTGAATGCTGGTCTTGTGATCTGGCATAACAGCCTTCTTTCCAGGCGGAGTTGGTCCTGGCTCAGATTTCTAGGCACAGCAAGAGAGTGACCAGTATCCCAAGGTTGGAACCCTCATTGACCAAGATAAGCTGAGTTGTGTGGGGCCTGTGAAGGAGGATGGTGTTGCAAACTCCCAAGACTTGCCAGGCATAATTTTCAAGTTGGTTTGAAATGCCTTCTGATCGATTCATCCATATGTACGCCGGCTCCCTCAGCCAATAAAGTGAGATGAGTGCCGCAACCCCAGAGTCGGCCACGACAGGACCTAATGGTCAGGGGTTTCTTTAACTAGCTGCCCGAGGAGAACAACGGTGTTTCACACCTGACGCTTCCCAACAGTCTCCGTACTTGCATTAGCCACAATGAGGGTTAGTAGCTTAGCTTTCCTTCAAAACAAAAACTGACCCCATGCCCCTACTTTGTTTACTTACGATGTACTCCTGGGGAAAAGGCAGCGCCTGAGCCCAAGAGCAAGTCAATCTTACCCAGTTTTCAGAGTCTGGGAGCAAACTCAACAGCACTTTGTCCCAGTATGATTCCCATCAACCTGTATTCAGAAGCATTACTGCCTCACAACAGTGGAGGAAGATCACAGTCCTCATTGCTTTACTAATCTGATCTGCTGATTTGTTACGTATTTTGTATTAATTTTTTGAATGTAATTTTATTGTTGGTTCAGTGCTGTTCGTTGCAATATTTTTTTCTTAAGGTTGCTGTTTTACAAATAAAATTGTGACTCTGATGGGGCATCTAGGGATTGGGATGGGATTTCCCAACAATTGGACTACAGTGGTACCTCAGGTTACATACGCTTCAGGTTACAGACTCCGCTAACCCAGAAATAGTGCTTCAGGTTAAGAACTTTGAGAACAGAAATCGTGCTTCGGTGGCGCAGCGGCAGCGGGAGGCCCCATTAGCTAAAGTAGTGCTTCAGGTTAAGAACAGTTTCAGGTTAAGAATGGACCTCCAGAACGAATTAAGTACTTAACCCGAGGTACCACTGTATGCCGTTTTTATGATAGTACACTTGTTCTGCTGCTAAAGGCGCTTAGAATAAAACACAGCCCCCTGGTTCTGCTGTGTTACCGGCTCCTCCATAAAGCTTTGATAACTTCTGACATCAGAAGAACCTGCTGGATGAGGCCAGTGGACCTTCGAGTCCAGCATCCTGTTCTCACAGTGGCCACCAGATGGGAGAAATTGCAAATTGTACTAGAGCGCAACAGCACTCTTCCCAGTTGCAATTCCCAGCCACTGGTATTCAGAGGCATAAGGTTTCTGACAGTGGAGACAGAACACAGCCATCCTGGCTAACAGCCATCGATAGTCCTCTCCCTGCGTTTGTCTAATCCTCTTTTAAAGCCATTGGTAGCCATTGCTGCCTCTTGTGGGTGTGAGTTCCATAAGTTCAACTATGTGCTGCGTGAATAAGCCCTTGCTTTGATCTCTCCTGATCTCCAACATTTCTCCAGGACATACATCCTTTTGGAAACTTCTATCGCGTCTCCCCTTCCTCGCCTTTCCTCTAAATTAAACCATCCTAAACACTGCAACTTCCCCTCATGGGAACATTGCATAGAATCTTAGAACTGCTGGGTTGAGAGGGACCCCGAAGGTCCTCTGTGTTGATATTTTCACCCCCTCCCATTGCGAGAATCTCCTGATCTGATGTTTTGAGAAAGGAGGGGGCGGAAACTTCTATTCTTCCGCTCCTGACTCTGTGTGTGGAGAGAGTCTTATCTATGTAGTGACTAGATGGCTGAGTGGGAGCTGTAACCCTCGTGCAAGCCAGTAGTTCTTTAGCTTGTAGCAGCTATTAGAAATAAAAGAAGTTATTCTTCACGGCTAGCTTCCGCGTTATTTATACTCTGCTGAGTCTGGCGCTCACAATGCACAGTTGTGAGTCCAGTGCACTGAGACCTGCGTTCCAGGATTGGAAAGTCTCTGAAAGTGCTCCAGTCGCCTAGCCCAGTCGGAGCAGAACCAGTTATTGAGCCCAGTCGCTGACATCGGTTGAAAGGCGTACTGACACTCTAGTCCAACCCGCTGCAATGCAGGAATCTCAGCTATATCCTACATAATAGATGGCTATCTAACCTTAAAAAACTCCAAGGAAAAACATTGGGGCGTTGCTGACAGAGGAGGGGAAAGGGTTGCATGTGGGTCTTTCTGCAGCAAGCCTTTCGCGTGACTCTTGCATCATAAGCGATGCTGCCAGAGCTTGGGGCCATGGAGGGGGAGCGGAGGGTTGGATTTTGCTTTCGCTTCGTCCAGTGAGAGCTGCCAGACAGTCTGCTCTGAGCTCCATGAGGAACTTCCATCGCTGTGCATTGTTAAAACTCTGTGTGGCCTTCCTTCCTCAAAAAACAAGGTCAGTGTGGTCTTTTTTTAACCACAAGGCACGGGCTGGCTTTCTTATTAATGGTATTGCATAAAGGTGACTCATCAGTCAGTGGATTTGGGTGCTGCTAAGGGTGGCACAGGAGAAGATCTGATCTCTGTGACAGGAGGTTATTTTTTCCCTGCTTAACCCTCACCCAGAGGTGTGCGAGGACACCTTGGGGTGCAACTCCCATTCACCTTAGCGAGGCTTGAGCCAGGAGTGTGCCATGCCATGTGAACCGTGGGCAAGTGCGCTTCTCATTTTGGACTTGGCAAATGTTTTGGGGACGGCTCATAACGGCAGAAGGAGAGAGTGCGCAGAGAAGAGGAACGACGAGAACAGGAATGCAGACTTGTTTTAAGGGGAAATCCCCGTTTGGCCTCCGAAAGAAACCACATGTTTTTGCGCTGCAGTGCTTCTGTGGGGGAAAGGAGGTGATGATTTCTAGGCATCAAGGAGCCTGAGGAGCAAGTGGGGAGGTGTGAGCAGAGGTAGAGGGAGATGACTTGGGGAATGGGGCCAGTGATTTGTGGGATCCAGTGCCATCAGTGAGGCGAAACCTTCCTCCATCACCAAGGCCTTCCTTGTCTCAAGGGAGCTTGAGTCTTCAGAGCCTTTACACCATGGATAGGCAAACTAAGGCCCGGGGGCCAGATCCGGCCCAATCGCCACCTAAATCCGGCCTGTGGACAGTCCGGGAATCAGTGTGTTTTTACATAAGTAGAATGTGCCCTTTTATTTAAAATGCCTCTCTAGGTTATTTGTGGGGCTTGCCTGGTGTTTTTACATGAGTAGAATGTGGGTTTCAGGTTTCAGAAATATATATCATATAAAAATAAGATGGGCTCAGGCAGCCGTTTTTCACCGCTTTGCCGTTTTGGCAATTGGTGGTGATCAGAAAAAACAGCTCAGTTGAAACAATTCCATACAAAACATACCAGAAAACACAGATCTTTAAAGTTCTGGAATCAAATGCTTTTTTAAAAATGGAGCAAGCCCACAAAGTGACCTATAAATACATTGTAACTGGGTTTGAATACATTTGTTTTTATTTGGTGTTTTCCTCTAAGCCCAACCCTCTCGTGGATTTTATTCTGAGACTAAATCATAAAGAAAAACAAATTTCATTTTCAAAACAGACTTACACATTTTGTCCAACTGTTATTTAAAGGCCTTCTTTGGGAGCTATAAAAACAAAGACCAGACATCGTATGAATATTCAACATTTGAAAACAAACTAAACTGATTGTATACAGGTTGCATATAAGCCTGCAGATACTTACTCAAAACCCAAAAGAGCCTGCAGAGATCTCTGTTAATTGCATCATCTGCTCACATAAACAGGGGGCTGAAATTATTATCTGAAGGCAACAAATTATATATTTTCTTAAGAACTGTACACAGGTGGTTTTAATATGTGGTAAGGCATCAAGGGCCTGGTGGATATGGGTTCAAATCCCTACTCATCCATTAAGTCCAGTGGGTGATCTTAGGCCATTCACCTCCTTTCATCATGACCTACTTCACAAAATTTAGGGAGGGTAAATAAGGGGTGGGGGGAGGAGACCCGTGCATGTATCTTCAGCTCCTTGCAGGTGTAATAAAAATCTGCCCTTATTCCCTTATAGGGGACACAAGATCCCTTCTAGAGTCCTTTGTAGGTTCTCCATCGGTCGGAGAAAATAACAGGCCAAACAGAGAATATTGAGAAGCAAAGCAGCTCGTAAGCCTGATCTTTATTAAACTGTTGCAACAGGGTGCCCCCTTCACATGCAGGAGAAGGAGGAGGACCCAGAACCAAGGTGTGCCCGCCCTTATATAGACATTTTAAATTGCCTGCCCTGGAGTCCAAGACCACCCCCAGAAACATCATACCTACATCACAGAAAGGGCGGTCTACAGCAGAAATCTGAGTGCATTGTTTATCTCATCTGACAGGTTACCTGTTAATTCTCACTTGATTGGATACCCTGGGGAGCCTGGCCAGTCTTTTGTAATGACAAATTCTTAGTTCCTGAGCCAGGTCACAGGCTTACCCTATTCATACACAGACATACCCTTAAGACAGGATTTGTGAAGGAAAAGACCCTTAAGACAGGATTTGTGAAGGCTTTTCCATTTTCCTTCAACCTTGCAGAGAAATATTTAAGGTCAATTTGGGAGGGACAAAATGGTTTCAGGATTTTTCTGTGGGGTTTCAGACATGCGGTTTATATATGCCGTTATGAACTATATATATATATATATATATATATATGACCTTAAATATTTTATTTCACAGGAAAGGCAAGTTAGAAATGTAATAAAAGAATAAGTAAGTTAAATATAGCCGAAACTTCAAAAGCTAATCGATAAAACCTTTTTTGTACTTTGGTCAGTGTTGGGTCTCGATTCGTAGTTACATTACGGGAGCCTCTTGTGGCTGTTTTAATGTTTAACGGTGGCCTGTTCCTTTAGTTGATGATTAGCAGAATGAAAAACGAAGGTTGCCACAAGGAGGTTTCCGTTCCTGGGTAAGCTTTTTGCTTTTTGTGTTTGTGCAGTGAGATAGTAAGCCCAGGAGCAGAGGCAGTCTAACCCAGTCTCCCCCCCCCCCCCGCTTCCCATTTACAGACACGTCTTGACTTGAAATGGAAGATGCAGGAGAACCCCTGGAAGATGCCCTCCTCTTTGCCCTGGACAACCTCTCTGAGGAGAACTTCAAGAGGTTCAAGAACAAGCTCTGCTTCCTGAAGATGGAGGGCAGAGCCAAAATCCCCCGGAACAAGCTAGAAAGCGCAGACACAATGGATACTGTCTGGCTCCTCTTGGATGCCTATGGCCAGGATGGGGCCTGGGAAGTGGCCGTGGCCATCCTCAAGGCAGTCAGCTTGCGGGATTCGGCCACCAGGCTCCAGAAATGGAAACGGAACGGTAAGAGACTTGCACTCTGCTTACTAAGGTTGCATGGGGTGAAACGTTCAACAACTTTGGGCCATCTCCCCTCATTTTATTAAAATTGAGCCCCCCCAAAATAGGGAGGGGGTCTTATACATGGGAGCATCTTATAGACAGAAATAGAGAAAGGGTGGAGAAATAGGAACAACAATACATATGTGGTGGAGGTGTGAGGAAATTAAGAAATTTTGGGTAGTAGTACATGAAGAACTAAAGAAGATGTTGAAAATATCAATAACAAAGAAACCAGAGACATATCTCCTTGGATTGATAGACGAAGAGATACCACGGGGGTGGGGATTTTTCTATATGCAAGTACAGCTGCTAGAATAGTGATTGCTGCTAGGTGGAAGTCACAAACTATACCCACAAAGGAGGAATGGATTTGTAAACTAAATGAACATTTAATTTTGGCAAAATTAACTGCTGTAATAAGAAACCAGTTGAATCAAAAATTGAAAAAGGAGTGGAAATGTTTTGATGACTATATGGCAAAATATTGCTCAAAAAAAAAGACACGCTAATATGCCTAGTTTAAAATGTGAAGTACTGGATGGAAGAAAAATTAGCAAGGAAAGATAATAAGAACATATAGATGATTTGAGAAGATTGTAGAATGCAAAGGTTATTGTAAATTGTATAATGTGGAGGAAATTGAGTGGGGGCGGAGGGAAGTGGGAGGAAGGAAAAAAGAAGAATACGATGGATTGAGGAAATATAAATGTAAATGTACGGGGGGATGGGGAGGAAATGGTGTTGGCTTTGATACATCTGTATTGTAATGTAATAGGTGAAAACCAATAAATAAATAAATAGAAAAAGATGGCACTTGCTAATAAAACAACTTATTTCCCCATGCTGTGGCCCCTCCCCTGACACCGCTCTCATTGTGTGATTACATTAGATCGCAGGAAGAAATATAAAAGCTGTATCCAAGAGAACTTCGGGGGCATTCCTGAATGTGACTCCCCTTCTTCCGGCCAAGTGGTGAGCCTCCCCCAAAGATATACAGAGTTGCTCTTCTGCAGGAAACGGGATCCTCAACAGAGAACCCAGGAGGTTGCATCCATGGAGAGGAAGCAACGAGAGTTGGAGGTTCACCAAGGAGACGGGCCAGAAGAAGTCAGCATGGAGAATTTGTTTGGTCCAGACGCTCAGGGGGAAAGCTCCAGAACCGTTGTGCTGCTTGGTCCCGCTGGGGTGGGGAAGACCACAGCCCTTTGGAAGATAATGCTGGACTGGGCATCTGGCAAGTTCTGGCAGGAGAGGTTCCAGCATGTCTTTTACATCTCCTGCAAAGCAGTGAAGTATGGCAAGGGACCCATGACCATAGCTGAGCTGGTACTCAGCAGCTGCCCTCCAGGAACTCTCCTAGCAGAGGATGCCTTCATGAACCAAGACAGCATCCTCATCCTCATCGACGGCTTTGATGAGCTGGAGACCAGCAGGCTTCCAGGTGACGTTACGTGTAGCGACCCCCACAAAAAGCAGGCTGCCGTGTCTTTGATGATGGGTCTACTCAGGAGGAGGCTCCTTCCCAAGTGCCATCTCATTGTGGCCACGAGGCCCGTGGCTTTGGGGGCACTACTGCCATGCCTGAGGTCTCCATGGTTGGTGGAAGTGTTGGGATTTCGACCGGCTCAGAGGGAGGAATATTTCCAACGCTTCTTTGAGACCAAGGAAGACGCCACTCGTGCCTTTGAAATTGTGAGAAGGAATGAAACTCTGTTCAGCTTATGCGTCCTCCCTGCTCTGTGCTGGATTTTCTGCACCGCCTTCAGGCGGAAACCCCAAAAGGATCTCCTTAATGCTATCCCGGAGACTGCGACCGTCACGGAAATCCACCTGCATCTCCTCTTTAGCTTCTTGGGTTGCAACCCAAAGCTGAGCAACTTGAAAGGTCTCTGCTCCTTAGCCAAGGATGGTGTTCTCCATAAGAAGGCGAGCTTTGGCGAAGAAGAGTTGAAAGAACATTGTGTGGGCTGTTCGGACTCAGAAACCCTTTCTGTCCTCCGGAAAGATGTCCATGCGGCAATAACTTACAGCTTTGTTCACTTAAGTTTCCAGGAATTATTTGCAGCCTTGTTCTACCTGCTGGACACAGATGGGGACTCATCATTCAGGATCCTGAACGAGGGACTGGGAAACAAGAAAGAGGGCAGAGGCAACTCTTTCACGCTGGTGCGTTTCCTCTTTGGCCTCTCCAACGCAAAGAGGATGGACCTCCTGCAAGAAGCATGGGGCTGCCAGATGTCCAGGACCAGGCTCTGGCAGGAGATGCTGAGCTGGGTGGACCAGGAAGCAACACGTCAGTCCTTTGGGAGAGGGGAGCAACTCCTGGAGCTCTGCCACTGCGTATACGAGACGGAGGACCCTCAGTTTGCCGAGAGCATCCTGAGACACGTCCATGACTTGGACCTCCGAGACTTGCTCTTCTCCAAGCTGGATTTTGCTGCTCTTTCATTTTGTCTAACAGCTTCTCTGTCTCTCTGCTCGCTTCGGCTCTCTGGCTACAAGTTGGGGCCCACAGCATTCCGCCAGCTCTTGCCAGGACTGCTGAAGCCCTCGGAGATCCAGTAAGTGCATCTGAAAGACCCACCAGTGATCCTTGTTGGGTCAGTGGGACTTAAGTAGGGTGGCCTTCTGTCCAGAATAGGGGCTCACCTCGTGGCTCAGTGAGTTTAGCCACCCAGGGCTCAAATCAGAGGGACGGCCCTACCATTGAGCAGAGTGAGGCAACTGCTTCAGGTGGCAGAAGCTTGGGAGACGGGAAGCAACGGCTACTGTTTTACAAGGCTACAGTGGGCCACTATTTCGGCTGAAGTTGCAGGGAGTCAGAGATGGGGCTTGCGGTTTCCGTTAGCAGCCTTTCCCCTTCACAACTGAACCATGACTGGATAGTTCAGTTGGTTAGAGTAAGGTTACCATATTTTTTTCAATAAATCCACGGACACTATAAATCAATCAATCAATCAATCAATCAATCTACATGTTCAGGATGTTGATGCTGCAGTGATGGCGGTGGCAGAGGGGCGCCACCGCCTTGACCTCAACCGCCACGTTTCCCCTTCCTCTGAGGCTTCTATCTCCTTTCTCCATGAACCTGGGCAGCCCCTGAGTTGTTGGTTCTTCGGTGGTGGTGGTGTGGAAGCAGTGCGTGGTGGGTCAGGCATGGAATGCGGAGAAGGAGGGCTGAGAGCGGCGGCGGAGGAGAGGCTCAAGCAGCGCAATGCCTCCCTTTTCATTGGAGCAGCCCCAATTCCATTCCTACTTGCGTGCAAGCAGGAGGGGACGGGGATCTCTCAGCTGGGAAGGGAGGCTTCCCGTTGCCTAACTGAGAGATCCCCACCCCGCTCCTGCTTGCACGCAACTAGGAGTTGGGAGGCTGCTCTGATAGGCAGCATGAAGCCTCCCTTCACAGCTTAGTTGCTGGGGTCAGGGAAGGTGGAGGCAGCCCAGAAGCTGCATCTTAGAGCCCCTGCACCACCATCATATGGGGACTTCCGAGCTGCTCCTGAAGCCAGCCAGAGCCAACTGCTCCGGGCTCCTGAGACTGCCGCTGCTGCATTTCCCGGGGACATTAGATGAAATCCGGGGACATTCCGGGGATGGAATTTGTCCGGGGACTTATTTGCAAATCTGGGGACTGTCCCCAGGAAAAGGGAACGCCTGGTAACCCTAGGTTAGAGCGTGGTGCTGATAATGCCAAGGTTGTAGGTTCGATCCCTGTATGGGACAGGTGCATATTCCTGCATCACAGGGGGCTCGGCTAGATGGTCCTCAGGGTCCCTTCCAACTCTACAAACATATGATTCTATGGCTGGCTGCCCCAAAACAGAGGCCCTTGCGAGGAGAGAAGGCTCCCTGCTCCATCAAACCAGAAAACTAAAGACCACTTCCAAAGGTTTATATTGACTTGTGGATCACTAAATGGGAACATTTTACGGATGTATACTGATACCGTTTGCCCTTTGTCCTAATCCTCCTGCTTTCGGTTTTCTCCAGGCTGAACCGCTGTGGGCTCCTATCTGCTGCAGGCCAAGATCTTTCCTCTGTCGTGGCGGCTAATCAGTGTCTGATCGGTCTGGATCTGGGTGAAAATCCACTGGGCGATTTGGGTGTGATCCACTTATGCCATGGGCTTCTCGATCCACACTGTCAACTCCAGAGGCTCCGGTACGTGGCTCCCTCTTCTCCAGCATTAAAATAAAGACCCCAGACACGCCCTTCCTTTGATGCTGAGGCCGCACATAGCATCATTCCTAGTCATGGATAGCTTTATGCTTTGTGAATTTATTTCATCCCCTTTTAAAGCCAACTTGGCGGCCATCGTTGCACCTCTTCCTGGTAGCGATGAATGTGAAACGCAGAAGCATGAACGTTTTTGCAGTGCCTCTGCCTGCCTCGCCCGCAATAACAAGAAGGAAGTGCTCACTCTTACAGTGTATCCTATGGAACTAATTGCCACAGGATCTTGTGGTGGCTCTTTGTATATATGGCTCTTTGTATATATATGGCTCTTTTGTATATATGGGTGTAACATGTGTGTAACGTGTGTAACCTGGCGTGCTCTGGTCCATGGGGTCACGAAGAGTCGGACACGACTAAACAACAACATGTGGTATTATAAATACATGGGATACAGTTCTAGCAGGTGCTCAATAATAATCTAATAATAACAATTAATTATTTATACCCCACCCATCTGACTAGGTCTCCCCAGACACTCTGGGCAGCTTCCAACTGAATATTAAAAACAATACAGCATCAGACATTAAAAACTTCCCTAAACAGGGCCGCCTTCAGATGTCTTTTAAAAGTAAAATTGTTGTTTATTGCCTTGAGATCTGCTGGGAGGGCGTTCCACAGGGCAGGCACCACTACCGAGAAGGCCCTCTACCTGGTTCCCTGTAACCTCACTTCTCGCAATGAGGGAACCGCCAGAAGGCCCTTGGATCTGGACCTCAGTGTCCGGGCTGAACGATGGGGGTGGAGACGCTCCTTCAGGTATACTGGGCATTTAGGGCTTTAAAGGTCAGCACCAACATTCAAACCACATCACACCATTTCAGTATCCTTAGAACCAGTCAGTATTGGGAGTGTCAGGCGTGGAGAGTCCGACCCTCCCTTCGGTAACTTCACAGATAAGAATTAGCAAGCAGTTGATAGATTTATAGTCCTTTCGATGCACATAGAGACCTATAAGCTCAGCTAACTAGCCAGGTTAGAGGCCTTGTGCCTTATCTTAGGAGCAGCTTTACTCCCAAGGTTGCAAACACATTTCTAAGCGTCTACATTCGAAAAGGAGACGTGCCCTGCTGTTCTGAGATGTACCTTCAAATGTGCTAATCCTCTCAGGTAGAAAGGAATGCAAAGAAATCACGTGTGGCAGGGGTTGCTTAGAAAGAGAGTCCTTTGTTTCCTTGCCTAATGAATATGCAATGAAGGAAAGACCATGTTGTTGTTTAGTCATTTAGTCATTTTCGACTCTTCGTGATCCCCTGGACCAGAGCACGCCAGGCACTCCTGTCTTCCACTGCCTCCTGCAGTTTGGTCAAACTCATGCTGGTAGCTTTGAGAACACTGTCCCACCATCTCGTCCTCTGTCGTCCCCTTCTCCTTGTGTCCTCCATCTTTCCCAACATCAGGGTCTTTTCCAGGGAGCCGTCTCTTCTCATGAGGTGGCCAAAGGATTGGAGCCTCAGCTTCAGGATCTGTCCTTCCAGTGAGCACTCAGGGCTGATTTCCTTCAGAATGGAGAGGTTTGATCTTCTTGCAGTCCATGGGACTCTCAGGAGTCTCCTCCAGCACCATAATTCAAAAGCATCCATTCTTTGGCCATCAGCCTTCTTTATGGTCCAGCTCTCACTTGCATAGTATAATTAGTATTGTAACTTTAGATTGGAGGAAGTTTATGCACTTTTATTACAGCATCATGTTGCAAGCAGAAATGCACAGCTTTCTGCAAGGAGTGCAGTCTAATCTTCCTTCCAACTTCCGCAGCATTTTAGGCAGCAACAGGACGTTCCTCCCTCCCTCTGACTCCTTTGCTCTCTGATACATTTGGACCTCCCAGTCCGAGGGGAGGGGGGTCCCTCACAGTCTCAAGTGACATCTCAACTATCTGCCCCCTATCCCCTTAGCGGAATCAACAAACATAGGTAACATTAAATTCACAGATCACGCCCCAATAGTAGTCACCATTGAAATAGGAGAGGGAACACAAATCACCCCATCATGGCCCTCCAGCCCCATCCTAACTACAAACAAACAAATTAGAGAGAGTCTCACAAAAACTCTACAAAACTACTTCAAGGAAAATGATGTAGACAATATAACAACCTATGGGATGAAGTGAAAGTGGTCACCAGAGGAGCTTGCATAAAAGAGAAAGCATTCCTTAAAAAAAAAAAAAACCTCAAGAATTAACAAACTAGAACAAGACAACTATCTGCCCCCTCCCTTCTGGTTCTGTTGTCATTATCTCGTAAGTGGGTAACTTCCCTCCTAAGCTGTTCAGCTCCTGTCTCTCCCTCTGCTTCTGAACATGCTGTGGATAAAGGGGAGGGCGACTAGTCCCCCTCCAGCTCTCCGTCAGATAGAAGCTGGTCTCCCATGGAATGTATTCCCCAGTCCTTGTCTTCAGAACATTCCCTGACAGGGAGCTTGATATGATTAGCCCCATATTATAGATGAAGGGACTGAAGTCAGTTTCTGCCAAGATACTCAGTAAGTTCACACTTGGAAGTGAAATTTGGACTGAGGATTCCTCTGCTCGCAGCAAATGATCATAACCACTTGTAGCTTTCACGAGAACATCGCTCTGATCACCAAAATCGCGGCATCTGCTGCTGCAAACGGTATGTCTCTGGCTACCAGATGTCGGGGAAGTAGCCCTGTGATGGAGATATCCACATCCCGCTGTTATCTGATTTCATTTATTTTATTCCGTTTATGATTGCTCCCCATAAAATATCTCAAAGCAGTTTCACAACAGAAACAACCAGCAATAAAAACAATGACACCATTTCGTTGATGAAAACCATGATCATTTGTTATTTAAAAAAACCATCCAAAGCACTTTCATATGTAGAAACAATTTCAATGGTTATGTGGATGTTAGCATCACATGACTGCCTGTGAATTTATCTACGGCACGTGGCTGGCTGTCTTCAGAAGACTCAATGCCAATATCCAAAACTTCCCCATGGGTATTCAGGGTAGAGGAGATCACATACCAAAGCCTCTCATCAGCTTTGTGCTTCTTGAAAGATGGGAGGAAAAGGTTACGGTCACATCCCAGCCTGGCGCTGTGAGCGCCTATCCCAGCTGCAAAGCCCCTTTCTGGAGCTCATTTCCACCTCCATCTCCTGCAGGCTACATTGCTGCAACCTGACAGCTGGCGCATGTGAGCCCCTTTCAGAGGTCCTGGCATCCAAGCCGTCTCTCTCTGAGCTGGATCTGGGAGAGAACAACCTGGGCGATGAGGGGATCAGGAAGCTGTGCGAGGGGCTGAAGCACCCACAATCCAGGTTGCAAAGACTCACGTAAGTGGCTTCTTCATCTCTGCTAATTCCCCCTCCTCCAAGAGCTCTTCTTGCCATTCCACAACTGTGCCCTGCAAAAATCCGATCTGCACGTAACAAATTTCATAGAATTGTAGAATTGTAAGGGACCACAAGGGACGTGGGTGGCGCTGTGGTCTAAACCACAGAGCCTAGGGCTTGCGGATCAGAAGGTCGGCGGTTCGAATCCCCACGACGGGGTGAGCTCCTGTTGCTCGGTCCCTGCTCCTGCCGACCTAGCAGTTCGAAAGCATGTCAAAGTGCAAGTAGATAAATAGGTACCGCTCCGGCGGGAAGGTAAACGGCGTTTCCTTGCGCTGCTCTGGATCGCCAGAAGCGGCTTAGTCATGCTGGCCACATGACCCGGAAGCTGTATGCCGGCTCCCTCGGCCAGTAAAGCGAGATGAGCGGCGCAACCCCAGAGTTGGCCACAACTGGACCTAACGGTCAGGAGTCCCTTTACCTTAACCTAAGGGACTACAAGGACCATCTAGCGCAGGCAAGTGAAGTCCAACTTCAAATAGGTTGTGATCTACTACCCAGTATCAAAAACTGGCAGTGATCTACCACACTCTCCCATTCTCATTATTCAGCAAGTGTTCCTTTCTCCCACCCCTCCAAAGTCATTTAAGTTTGTTTAATCAGTTAATTAATTAATTAATTAATTAAGGGATATTTATTTCACAGATACAGTAGTTTTGTTTGGATATAATAATGACAGATCCAAATAGTTACTAGATGGACAAGTAACTAAACAAGTGAGAAAAGAAACTACAGTAGTACCTCAGGTTAAGTACTTAATTCGTTCCGGAGGTCCGTTCTTAACCTGAAACTGTTCTTAACCTGAAGCATCGCTTTAGCTAATGGGGCCTCCTGCTGCTGCCGCACTGCCGGAGCACGATTTCTGTTCTTATCCTGAAGCAAAGTTCTTAACCTGAAGCACTATTTCTGGGATAGCGGAGTCTATAACCTGAAGCGTATGTAACCCGAGGTACCACTGTATATTTTTATATTAATTTACACAGATCTGAGAAGCCAGTTGGAGCACCCGGCTTCTCTCTCTCTCTCCCTCTCCCTAAACCAGCCTTTTCTCTCTCTGAGGAGCCATTTAGAGTGTGCTGGGCTTCTCTCGATAGATAGATTGATCAATCAATTGATTGACCAAAACCAATCCTGCAATTGATAGATCGATCGCGATTGACGTGTTGGGCGTGCCTGATCCAGCCCCCTGCAATGCAGGAATCGTTTGCCCAACCTGGGACTCAAACCCACAGCCCTGAGATTAAGTCTCATGCCCTAGCAACTGAGCTATTTGAACAAATGAAAACGGGTGTAACCTTCATGTAAACATTTGAAAAAGATCAGCCAAAATATAACCAAACCAAACTCTTTTTGTGTGTGGCAATTGGGACGTTCAGATCCAAGTTTGTTATTTTGCCTGTGGGACATATTCTCTCTTCAGTTTCATCTTTCCAGGTGTCACAAATCCCCTTCATCTTCCTTTGCAGGTTGCACCTTTGCGGTCTCACAGCCGGGGCGTGTGAGGATCTGGCCTCCGTCCTGGAATCTCACGAGAGCCTGGCGGAGCTGGGCTTAGGGGGGAACAGCCTGGGAGATGAGGGCGCCAGGCAGCTGTGTGCCTCACTGGCGAAGCAGCACTGCAGACTCCAGAGGCTGGCGTAAGTAATCCCCCGCCAGTCTTTCGTGCATGTTGTTTAGAGTTCATCAGGCAGGCGGGTGGCGCTGTGGGTTAAACCACAGAGCCTAGGGCTTGCCAGTCAGAAGGTCGGCGGTTCAAATCCCCGCGACGGGGTGAGCTCCCGTTGCTCGGTCCCTGCTCCTGCCAACCTAGCAGTTCGAAAGCACATCAAAGTGCAAGTAGATAAATAGGTACCACTCCGGCGGGAAGGAAAACGGCGTTTCGGTGCGCTGCTCTGGTTCGCCAGAAGCGGCTTAGTCATGCTGGCCACATGACCCGGAAGCTGTCTGTGGACAAACACCAGCTCCCTCAGCCTATAGAGCAAGATGAGCACGCAACCCCAGAGTTGTCCGCGACTGGACCTAAAGGTCAGGGGTCCCTTTCCCTTTCCCTTTAGAGTTCATAGTCATTCATGCTCAAAAGGACAATCTTAAGTTCTCCAAATTTCCCCCTCAGTTTGTGATGTCACTCAAGTGAGTTGTCTCTCCTGCCCTTCTTATCATCGGCACACCCTGGTAGCCTCCAGGTTGTCAGTATTATTATTGGGGAGGGTGTGGGGAGCGTGTCTTCAAGCACATATCAGAAATTTAGGTCTGCACAATTAAAGTGGATTAAAGCACTGTGAGACAGGGAAACGCACTGAGGAGCCGGCGTTTGTCCACAGACACGTTTTTTGTTTTGTTTTTTAAATGATATTTATTAACGTTTCACAAAGAAAAAATCACATCAACAAAAAAGAAAAATTCAAGAATATAAAGAAAAGTACACAATACAAAATACAAAAAGACAGCAGCTTCCACAGACAGCTTCCGGGTCATGTGGCCAGCATGACTAAGCCGCTTCTGGCGAACCAGAGCAGCGCACGGAAACGCTGTTTACCTTCCCGCCAGAGCGGTGCCTATTTATCTACTTGCACTTTGACATGCTTTTGAACTGCTAGGTTGGTAGGAGCAGGGACCAAGCAATGGGAGCTCACCCCGTCGTGGGGATTTGAATCGCCAACCTTCTGATCGGCAAGTCCTAGGCTCTGTGGTTTAACCCACAGCGCCACCCGCATCCCTCAGCACCAAATAGAGAAGTCCTAAACAGTTGGAGTGGTTATGGGAGAGAGTTAGGACCATAGCTGTCAACATTTCCCTTTTTAAAGGGAAATTCCCTTATTCCAAATAGGATTCTTCGTAAGAAAAGGGAAAAGTTGACAGCTATGGTTAGGACCTGAAGGCCTTGGAATGGACTCGAGGCTGTTCGTAAACTAGGTCTCTGCTGTGTTCTGGGGAGAGAAAATGGGCTCCCAGGAAACTGTTCCCTGCAGTTTCTGGCATCAGCTTAGAGGCTTCCAGGTCTCAGTCAAACTAGCCAGTTGGCATCAGCTTTGGCAGCCATGATCCTCTTTGCCTGAAAGCTTCGCCAAGTGGATGACCCCACTAGAGATTTGCAAGCAGACTTTTCCCTCTTGGGGGAGCCTCCTTTCTGACGATGCGGTTTTTCTCCTCCTTCCTCCTTCCAGACTTACAATGTGGACCCTAAATCGCATCACCCAGAAAAAACTGCAGGCAGCTCAGGCTGCACGCCCTCAGCTGATCCTGACCTCCTATTATCCACCCGGCTGTGCCGCCTTCCCAGGGGACGAGTAATGGGATATTCACACAACTTACCACTTGAGCATGAGCAGATTGCTTGCAGATTGTGTGAAACCAGAGCCAAGCACCACCGATGATTGCCACCCACCAGGTGTTGAGCTGCAAACAGCCACTTGAACATTGCACTGCCTACATGCATGTGTGAATTGGCCCAAGGCTTCAGCCGTTCTTCATTGTGGCTGGTGACCCTGCCAGGTAACAGCCCCTCTAGTCTGAAATGGAGAGCAGCAGGCCATTGAGATGTCTGACCTACACAGACGAGAAACAAAACCTTCTAAGCTACCCAATGACCTGGATTTTCCAAAATCAGGTGTGGTGCCTCCTGGGAGCGAGGCAAACGTGGCTCATTTTTGGCAGCTATCGGGCTTTGGGCTTTCTGCCTGGATGCTGAGGTCCAGCACCAAGGGCCTTCTGGCGGTTCCCTCATTGTGAGAAGCAAAGCTGCAGGGAACCAGGCAGAGGGCCTTCTCGGTGGTGGCGCCCGCCCTGTGGAACACCCTCCCATCAGATGTCAAAGAGATAAACAACTACCTGACATTTAGAAGACATCTGAAGGCAGCCCTGTTCAGGGAAGTTTTTAATGTGTGACATTTTAATGTATTTTTAATCTTTGCTGGAAGCCACCCGAGTGGCTGGGAAACAAATAAATCATTATCATTATTATTATTATTATTATTATTATTATTATTATTATTAAAGTCAGTGCCACATTCAAACTTGTGATTTATAAGGGAAGCCCTTCTGAAGGCAACAGCATAGTATTGTTAGGAATTTGGGGGCTCAGCCTGGATGATGCCCCAAGTCCCTTCCAGTTCTTGGGATCCTGTATTGCAAGGGGTGGAATGTGTAAGGGAAACCTTTCCAATGCAGTCCCTTTGTCTAGGTCAGTGGTGTCCAAACTTTTTTCAAAGAGGGCCAGATTTGATGAAGTGAAGGGCCGTGGGGGCTGACCAAAATTGTTAACATTTTTTTAGGATTGAAGTTGTTGATCTTTTATGATTTTACCCCAAAGTTGTTGAGCTTTTTTTAAGTTGTTGAGGGTTTTTTAGGGTTAAGTTGTTGAGGTTTTTATTAGCCAAGTGCTAGGTAGGACAATAACCAAGAATCACGTGAGAGCGCTGAGCTAGGAGCAGGCTGAAAGATGAAGACACAGAGACCTGCTTGCTCTGTGCTGCGACTAAGACAGAAGAATTTCAGGCTGCGAGCCCCTCAAAGCTTATGCTCAGGTTGTTCCAATAAAACCATATCCTAAAGACAGCACTATCTCTACATTTCCATACAGCTCTTCATCTGAGGACCCCAATACACAGTTTAAAAGGCCATGGATTGTTTAATTAGCCCGGATGCCTGGGAGAAGGGAATATTTTTGGCTGGCACCTGAAGATATGTATGATAGGATATTGCTGTTCTGTTCCACCCTAAGAGGAACAGATATGTGGATTGTTGTATGTCACATGTCTGTTTACATTCCAGCACAGCTTGCTGGGAACTTCTGTTTGTGTATTGCTTTTGCTTAGTGCTTCTTGCTCTTAGACATGAAGGAGAGCAGACATATTTTCTTTGTCTTGATCTATGCTGAATGAACTGCTTGTAAATATGCCTTACATATGCCTCTGTCCGCCCTTCCGTTGTGAAGAGTTAATTACTCTGCTGATAAGAGCGTGCTCCAGCTTCTGAAGAGTTCTGAAGCTGCGGGTCGCTGATTTATGCTATGCCAGGGACCGGAGATCGCCCAGCTACCAGCCGGTGGGCTGAAGCCAGCTGGGGGCCTGCAAATTGCCCCCGTTTCCTTGGACGCATCCCAACAATGTAATGAAGTCTTCAGCCGAACCTCCCTGGGAACAGCATGTCACGAGCAGGGAGCCACCGCAGCAAAGGCCTGCTCGTGTGTTGCTGCCCTCCGGACTTCTCGTGGAGGAGACACACAATGAAGGGCCTCAGACGATAAATGCAGAGTCCAGGTTGCTTCATATGGGGAGAGATGGTCCTTGAGGTATTGCAGTGCTCAGCCATTTAAGGCTTTAGAGGTCCAAACCAGCACTTTGAACTGGGCTCAGAAATTAATGGGCAGCCAATGCAGTTGGGCCAGAATCAGTGCAACATGCTCAAACCGTCCTGCACCGTTGAGCAACCTTGGCAGCTGAATGCCAGCACCACAAGAAGCATTGGTCTGCATGGTGCTTGCATAGGAGAATAAAAGCACCATCAAAACACACCTGTGGAGACAGAGGTGACCTACGATTACCTATGATGGTAGAGGAGCCCTTGTAAAAAATAAAAAACCCCACTTATCCATGTTTTGCAGCACAGCTGCACTGGAAAACTCTGGCTCTGAGATAGGAACTGTGAGTTGATGGTAGCTGGCATAATGGGAATTGTGATCCCAAACATCTGGGGGGAACTAGGTTGGAGAAGGCTGCTGTAGGGTCACCTGTGAGTGGCTTGCGACCTTGGTGTCCGCCAGCAGCCCTGAAGTGTTCATTTTTATTTATTTCATAAAATTTATACACTCCTTGATTGTAAAAAAAGAAAAAACAACCCGAAAGCTCAAACCGGCTTACAAAAAACAAATAAAATGGTAATTCTCAATAATAAAAAATAACTCAAGTTTTCCAAAATTGAAACTAACAACAAACTAAAAAGAGATTAAAACTCACATCAACTTTTTAAACATCTGGGCACGCTTGTATGAACAAAAATGTTTTTAGCAGGCGCCGAAAAGTGCAGTGCAAAGGTGCTTGTCTGGTATCAATTGGCAGGGAGTTCCAAACTGTAAGTGCTGCCACTAAGAGATTGATTTTTTAGAAATGCAGAACTAACTGTTGAGAAAGTGGCGTGCCGAGAACAGTGCATTGCAAACATGGGAGCCCCCAGAACACAGCGCTAATGAGCTAGGCATTTATTGGAGAATATTACAATATGCAATCTTCCCGTTTAAAACCCAGAATTCTCCCGCTTGCTTCGCCTCTCGCCACCATGTCTGAGGACCCGCAGCCCTTGATCCAAGGACAGTTTTCTCTCCAAGATCTTACTAAGGAGGGTCACTTTCTCATCAGAAGGTGCCGTGCCTACGAACTGCGAGTAGCGGCTTCGCTCCCCAGATCCCTGGCTGGCGGCGGGTGAAGCGGTTTGACCAAGGGGCACCCTCCCTTCTGTAACCTCTTTTGCTACTGCCTGCTGTGACCCAGAAGCTGATTCCGTTGCCATATTACTCAGGACGAATCTTGCTTCCCAAAGCAAGGCCGTTTGGGAAGGTTTCGCCTTCTTCAGGGACACCAGGGAATGGCTGTTTTTTGGGGAATTTTCATGCCTGCGGCTCCCCGTTGCTTTGCCGCCACTGCTGCCTCCTCCTTCCTCCTCCTCCTCCTCTTTTACCATCCAGTCGCTTCTTGCGAACCCTTCCTCCTTGCTGTCCCAGTCCCCGACCTGCTCCCACTCCCACTCGGTGCTGAACTGCGACATGCTCCCCACCGACACGGGGCGTTGCTTCTCGGAGCCCGAGGAGGTGCCCTGCTCCTCCTGTCCTTCCACCGCCGCTTCGTTGTCCGGGGCCGAGTGCCTCTGGAACCCTCCCTCTGCGCCCAGGAAGCCTTCCTTTGGAGACGCAGGGAGCGCTTGCCACTCGGAGTCTTTGGGGCTGTCGCTCGAGGCCTCCTCCAGGCCTCGGGCTCCTTCATGGAGCGGGGACCCCACAGAGTCCTCCTCGCTCCCTTCCTTCCAGGAAGGAGATTTCAGGCTGAGGCATTCCTGGCACAGGGACTCTGAGGACCATCTTCCCAGCTCCTTGGTGGCAGAAGATGCCTGGCGCCCTGTGTCGGTGGCCCAGTCGGCATCTCTCATGGTCTGGCTGGGTGAGTCCATCCTCTTCTCCCTGCCCCAGCCCACCTTCCTTCCTCCCATCCGCAGGCCGCTCCTTGACTTCACCTGGCGAATGCTGCCGGCCATCCCGTAGGTTCTGGCCACTACCTCCTCATAGGACGACTGGGGTTCGACGGCGTACGCCTGCTCCAGGAAGGCCTGTTGGGGGGCAAAAAGGCTAGCTTGCTGTGCACTCTCTGTCCGCTGCAGAGGCCTAAGGTCTGCCTCAGTGGCTTCTTGCTCTGGCTGAAAAGCATCCCTGATGCTTTCTCCAGAGGATGGACCAGGAACCTGCTCAATATCCTCTGAGAGCAGAGAAGAGGAGCCTCCCTCTTTGCCATTTTCTGCACCTTCCTCTTGCTCCTGCTGCCACCATTTCTGCTCTGCTGCCAGCTGTGAGGAGGAGGAGATGGCAGCAGTGGCCTTCCTCGAAAAATGGGACGGAGAAGAGCAGTTGGGTAGCTTGCAAACCTTCCTGTGCTCCCAGCCAGCTTCAGAACCCTTTGGCAACAGCGGAAGCTGCCCAGGTGGAAGGTGGCTGTCATCTGCCATCCCTTCAAAGCTACCCTCCGGTTGCCATGGAACCCTCGTCGTCATCTTCTTCTTCCTCTTCCCAAGGGATGTATTTGAAGAGCGTGCTGCCAGGTGAGTGATTCTTCCGCAGGTATATCTCACCCTCTGGGAGCTGGGATTCCTCTCCGGCCGACGGCTGGCATTGTGTACGTACTTTGGGGGTCTGCGAGTGGGCTGTGAGAGAGGGGGGACCCCAGGATCCTGCATCCTGTCAGGAATCCTTGAGCGCTGCACTTGCCTGGGCTTCTTCAACCAAGATCCCTGCAAAGGTTTCTCCTGCAATCGGCTCCTGCGGGGAGCTCCTCTCGGGGCCTCCCAGCCACCCCTTGCCTCCTGGGCAGCTGTGTGGTTCCGCGTTTTCCCGCAGAGGCAGAGGGACGGCTCTTCTGTTTCCACCCACGACGCCTCTCCACTGTCTTGCCCTATTTCAGGAAAAAGCTCTGCGTGGTAGATGCGTGGATCTTCCCAACTTGAGCTGGATTCTTGTTCCGTTTCCGTCTTAAATGGGGTGTCTGATGTGTCGAGGGTCTGCTCATACGTGGACGGCTGTTCCTCCTCCTCTGATCCATGAGCATGAAAAATAAACGCCCTCGCCGACTCCTGGACCACTTTGGGAATGTGCCATCGGTGCTCCACTTTCAGGCCCCGGATGTGCTTCTCCAGATGTTCCTTTGTGCCTACATGCAAGAAATGCAGCTGTTTGGCACCAACTTGGACCTCCTTGCCTTTGCGTCCTTTCTTGGTGCCTGCTCTTGTTCCTGCGGCAACGCCCTTTGCTCTTGCTGCAGCGATTCTCGCTCCTGTGCCAGTCAAAGGACTCTCCTGTAGTCCCCGGGGAACTGGAGCAAATGCACGCAGCGACCTCTGGACGGTGGCTGGGAGGCCCCAGTCATGCTGGATCTTCTTGCGTTGAATGTGGAACTCCAGAAAGTCCTGGAGATGGCCAGCAAGGAAAGGCAGCTCTCTCTCACAGCTTATGCTTGTCGCAGAAGTGGCAGACAGGGCCGCTGCCAACAGCGTTTCCTCCTCCAGCTCACCTGACACGTTCTGCCTGTCCTGGCGTTTCTGCACAGAGCTTGCCAGCTCAAATGGGGAGCGGATACGAAAGGCCTCTTGATAGTCACGGGGGTGAGTTTCCGGCCCCATTTCTAGAACAGAAGGGGGCCTGGGAAGCCGAAACGCTCTCACGGCTTCCTGAGCGTGTTTTTGGAGGTCCCACCTGTGTCCTGCAGTCAGACTCCTCACATGCGCTTCCAGATGCTCCTTCACCACCGAGTCAATGAACACGAGCCCCCGAGTCATAATTTTGACGTTTCCCTCATCCCAAGGAAACGGATGGACTACGCTCTTTCTTGGTGGCCTTTTCTTGTGCGACTCAAGGGGAAGAGGGGCGAATGCCTGCAGGGACTTCAGCACAGTGGAGGGCAGGCCCCAGGCATGCTGGAGTCTCTTGCGTTGGATGTGGAACTCCAGAGCATTCTGGGCCTCGTGCGGCAGGAAAGGAGACGTCACCTCAGGAAAGAAGAAAGTTGACACATCAACATGGGCAGCTGTAGCTGCTGCTTCTCTCTTATGGTAGAGTTTTCCCCTGAGCTTCTGCGTTGCCTCTCTGCTGGAGTCGTCTTCATTGTCTCCTTCTGTCCCAGAAGCCAACTGGTTGTCACCTTCAGTCTCTGAATCAGCCACATCCTGGGGGGATTTTGAGGGAGGAGGCAAGGGCTGCCGTGGCCGACCCAGTTCAGGTTGGGAAGCAGGCCTGGAAGTCATGAAGGCCCTCAGCGACTGCTGGACGCGTTCTGGAAGGCCCCACCTGCGTTTCTCAATCATACGCCTCAGGTGGCCGTTCAGATGCTCCTTCCTTTCTGGGCTGAGGAAGGAGAGGCTCCGACTAACACTCTGCATGTCTCCTTCCTCCCATGGAATCCGACCAGCCACAATCTTTCTTGGTGGCCTTTTCTTGTGCGACTCAAGGGGAAGAGGGGCGAATGCCTGCAGGGACCTGAGCACGGCGGAGGGCAGACCCCAGGCATGCTGGAGTCTCTTGCGTTGGATGTGGAACTCCAGAGCATTCTGGGCCTTTTGTGGCAGGAAAGGAGATGCCACCTCAGGAAAGAAGAAAGTTGACACATCAACACGGGCAGCTGAAGCTGCTGCTTCTCTCTTGTGGTGGAGCTTCTGCGTTGCCTCTCTGCTGGAGTCGTCTTCATTGTCTCCTTCTGTCCCAGAAGCCAACTGGTTGTCGCCTTCAGTCTCTGAATCAGCCGCATCCTGGGGGGATTTTGAGGGAGGAGGCGAGGGCTGCCGTGACCAACCCAGTTCAGGTTGGGAAGCAGGCCTGGAAGTCATGAAGGCCCTCAGCGACTGCTGGACGCGTTCCGGAAGGCCCCACCTGCGTTTCTCAATCATACGCCTCAGGTGGCCGTTCAGATGCTCCTTCCTTTCTGGGCTGAGGAAGGAGAGGCTCCGACTAACACTCTGCATGTCTCCTTCCTCCCATGGAATCTGACGGGCCACAATCTTTCTTGGTGGCCTTTTCTTGTGCGACTCAAGGGGAGGAGGGGAGAATGCCTGCAGGGACCTGAGCACAGCGGAGGGCAGGCCCCAGGCATGCTGGAGCTTCTTGCGTTGGATGTGGAGTTCCAGAACATTCTGGGCCTCGTGGTGGAGGAACGGCAGCCTCACCCCGGGAAATAAGAAAACACTCGCTTCATGCCCCACACGTGTCGCTGTTCCCTGCTGGCCTTGCGAGAGGACCTTTTGCTTCTTGGTTGCCCTCCTCCTGCCCTCTGTTCCTTGAGGAGAGCCTTTGTTGTCGTCGTCACTCGTCTGATAATCGTCTCTGGCCGCCTGCCAGGATTTGCACTGGCAAGGCAAGAGACCCACTTCAGATCGGGAGGGGGGCCTGGAGGCCAGAAAGGTCTTCAGGGATTGCTGAACGCGTTTCGGGATCTCCCACCTGTGTCTGGTGGTCAAGGTCGTAATGTGGGCCTCCAGGCGCTCTTTGGTGTCTGGCTTAAGGAACGAGAGGTCGTTGGTGATGACCCTCACTTCTTCTCCATCCCAACGATGCGTCTTGGGGGCGTCCTCTCCCCAGTGGAGGGCAAACGGGGCCAGGGCATCGAGGGACTTCTGCAAAACAGACGGAGCGGCCCACGCATGTTGGATTCTCTTGTGTATGATGTGGAACTCAAGCAGCTGCAAGGCCTCGTCCGTGAGGAAAGGTGGCTGCAGCGTGGGCGATATCTCGACAGTTGTGCCCATGTTTCTGGCCGGCCGTTGTTTCCTCTGATGACCCTTTGGCTTTTGAGGGGATGCTTTTTTGGACGGCTGCAGCGCCAGGGACTCTTTGCCCTCAGAATAGGAATGGATTTCTTGCCGCTGCGACGAGACGCGATGGTGTTTGGAGACTTGTACAGGAGATCTCCTTTCTCCAGCATGGAGAAGCCCCATCAACTCTTCATCCTCAGAATGGGAATGGATTCCACACTGCTGAGAGGAGTCGCGATGGTGTTTGGAGACTTGTACAGGAGACCTCCTTTCTCCACCATGGAGAAGCCCCATCGACTCTTCTCCCTCAGAATGGGAATGGATTCCACACTGCTGGGAGGAGTCGCGATGGTGTTTGGAGACTTGTACAGGAGACCTCCTTTCTCCACCATGGAGAAGCCCCATCGACTCTTCTCCCTCAGAATGGGAATGGATTCCACACTGCTGATAGGAGTCGCGATGATGTTTGGAGACTTGTACAGGAGACCTCCTTTCTCCAGCATGGAGAAGCCCTGGTGACTCTTCTCCCTCAGAATGGGAATGGATTTCCTGCTGCCGGGGGGAGTCACGGTGATATTTTGAGAGTTGTACAGGACGCTTGCTTTCTCCAGCATGGAGAACCCCTTTAGACTCTTCTGTCTCAGAATGGGAATGGACTTCGTGCCGCTGGGGCGAGTCGTGGTGACGTTTTGAGAGTCGCACGGGGTGCTTTTTTTCTCCCGCACTGGACTTCTGTTGAGCAGGAAGAGCCGCCCTCACTGAACGCCGAACCATCTGGGGCAGCCCCCACCTGTGCTCTGTGGCCCACCTCTTCATGTGGGTTTCCAGGCAATCCTTTACATTTGGACACAGAAAACGCAGGATCCGTCGAGGAATCATCGCCTTCGTCACAGACTGTAGTGGGTGGGCAGCTGCGCCCCCTTTCCCTTGGCCCCCCGATTTCTCAGGGCTGACGAGTACTACTGCTCTAGCCTTTGAGGGCCCTTGCAGCTCAGGGGGAGGTGGGGCAAAGGCCCGTAGGGATTTCTGCACAGCGGACGGCAGGCTCCAGTCATGCTGGACCCTCTTGCGCTTTACATGGAATTCAAGATATTCCCTGGCCTCATCTGTAAGGCATGTTGTTACCACTGGCAACAGGTCTAATTCTCTCTTTGGAGTCTCTCTTCCATGCCGTGAGGTTTCCAGGTGCCTCCCTCCTGGAGATAGCTCGGAAGGTTGCCCTCCTGTTCTGGGTAGTTGCTGCCGTTCACTTTCCACCTGCTTCTCCAGCGGGCTCTGGGCTTCTCCTCCAGCTGCCTGGAGGCCCTGGCCACCTGTGCCCAGTGGCATTTGGAGGTCTTTGCTGCAGGTGTATAGTGGAATTTGGTCAGCTTGGGAAGGCGATGCAGCTGCCTGGAGGCGCTGGCCACGAGTGCCCAGAGGGGTTTGGAGGTCTTTGCTGCAGGTGCATAGTGGGATTTGCGTCTGGTCAGCTTGGGAAGGCGATGTAGCTGCCCGGAGGCGCTGGCCACGAGTGCCCAGAGAGGTTTGGAGGTCTTTGCTGCAGGTGCATAGTGGGATTTGCATCTGGTCAGCTTGGGAAGGCGATGTAGCTGCCCGGAGGCGCTGGCCACGAGTGCCCAGAGAGGTTTGGAGGACTTTGCTGCAGGTACATAGTGGGGTTTGTGCCTGATCAGCTCGGGGAGCAGACCCAGGAGGCAGGAACACCTTGACCGACTCCTGGACCAGTTTGGGAAGGCCCCATCGGTGTGCCGCAATCCGGTGCTTCAAGTGGGCCTCCAGGCTCCCCGCTGTGACGGGATCCAGGAAGACCAGGCGCTGGGCTGTCACGACCCTCACTTTTACTGCACGGGTTGGAGACCTTTGCAGTTTAGAGGGGGGCCGGGGAAATGCAGAGAGGGATTTCTGAATTGTGGCTGGCAGGCCCCATGTGTGCTGCAGCTTCTTCCGCAGAACGTGCATCTCCAGAAGATTTGAGGAGTCCTGTGTGAGGAAAGGTGCCCCCCACTTCCAGGCTTTAAGGCCTGCTGCTGCAGGGCCCTTGGGTGTTTCTCTCCCCAGGGCCTTTGCCGAGCTTCCGACTGTGGCGACCTTTCCTGGCAGTGGCTGCCCAGGAACTTTCCCGTACATCTTGGTCAAGGATTTGATTTGCAAACCAGGTAGGCCCCAAAGACACGTGAGATGCTTCTGCTTGATGTTCAGCTGGATCTTCAACAGAGCCTCTTGCTCGACAAAAAGCAGGAGGGGCCTTCTGGGTCTCACCCCAGAGGGGAGGGAAGGAGGTTTAGGGAGAGGGGCTCGTCTGATGGGGCCGGCAGGTGCCTTCATCAACTGGAATTTGCTCTCCAGAGCCTTCTTCTTGAGATGGGTATCCAGAGTAGCTTTGGTGGAGCTCTCCAAGCATTGATTCTTCACTGGGGGAACATTGGAGGTCTTCCTCAGCCTCGCATCAGCCGCCCGGGATCCCGTGGCCTTCGTCAATTTCTTTTCCTTGCCACTCTGAGGAAGCGGAGCCCTTCCTGGGGGAGGAGTGGGGAGAAATTGCTGCAGGGAGTCCAGGACCTTCCGTGGCAAACCCCACCTCCGCTGCAGCTTCCTCCTCTGAATGTGAAATTCCAGGAGGCGGCACATGCGCCGAGGAAGGAAAAGCAGCTCTTGATGCAGCACGCAGATCGGAATGCTGGTCTTGGGAAGGCCGGGCAGCCTGGGTGGTCCCTGCATAAAGCCCCAGAGCGACCTCTGCACGAGGGCAGGAAACTCCCACATGTGCTGCATCCTTTTCTTCCTGACGTGCAGCTCCAATTCCTCTCTGGACAACCTCTGGAAGAACAGCGTCTCCACTGCCAAAAACTCGAAGGCGGCCCCTCTGCGCCTGGCCGGAGTTCGGAAGGGCGGCCGGGGGGCCATCGCAGCCACCGCCTCCACGTAGCGTGTCCCCAGCCCCCACAGGGAGGCCAAGTAGTTGTGGTGGACGGCCAGTTCAATCTGACCCATTTGATCTACACTGAACAAGAGGCAAGAGCTACGGGGTCTCAAGGTCGCCAAGCCGGGACGGATCAGCCTGGGGAGAGTCTGGCTGAGGGACAGCGATGCCCTTTGCCTAGAGTGTCTGGGCACAGCAGGGAAGGCTCCTAGGTGCACCTCCAAACTCTTCTTAGTCACGTGAAGCTGCAGCTTCTCCAGAGACATGCCCTCCAGTGGGAGACACAGCTTGGCGGAATGCGCGGCCGCACCCACCATCCTTCTGCCCTTCTCCCTGACCGGCTCAGCACCCTTGGCACCAGCTGTCCACGGTTTGGCACAAGCCCCAAAGCTGGACTCCCGCGAAGTGCTTCCTGCTGGCAGCATCTTCTCCCCCGGGAACAGCAACTGCATCGATTCGAGGATCCTCCTGGGCAACGCCCACTGCCTCTGGAGCTTCAGCCGCTGGACGTGGTGCTCCAGGCGCACGCGGGTGCTGCGAGGAAGAAACAAGAGCTCCCTGTGCAGCGTCTGCACCCAGATCTTGGTTCTGCGGGAAGCCCCTGGAAGCGGCACCTGTCCTGGCAGGGGGGGACCTTGCATGAAAGCCCTGAGAGAGCTCTGGACAGAGACGGGGAAGCCCCACTCGTGCTGGAGCTTCTTCTTTCTCACGTGCCGCTCCAAGGACTCCCGGTCCTCTTGCAGGAGAAACAGAGTCTGGGCCGGGGAGAACCCGAGAGAAGCCTTCCTGGACCTGGGAGGTTGTGGGTGTGGCGCAGGGGCCATTGCGCTCAGGGCCTCCACGTACCGCTGGCCTAGCCCCCAGAGGGAGCTCAGGTGTTTACACTGCACAGACACCTCAATCTTCTTGAAGTCCTCGGCCAGCACAAAGGTCAGGACGAGCTTCCGGGGCTGCAAGGGCTTGACGCCACGGAGAATCCGCTTGGGCAGAGGCTGCCTGGACGTCAAAACCACCCGTCTCCAAGAGCTCACAGCAACGGCCGGGAAAATCTCCCAATGCACCTCCATGGACTTCTTGGCCGAGTGGACCCTGATCTTCTCCAGGTTCTGGCGTCCCACACTGGGGAACCCCCGGGACCCTGCGTCCGCTTTCCTTTTACGGCAGACGGCGCAGAGGGTGCCCACGACGGGGGTGACAGGGAGGCTTTCAGGCCCAACTTTCCTGAGCGTGCTTTTCGCCCCCCGTTCAGCAGGTGATTTCTGCCGGTGGGCAGCAGCCTTGAGCTCCGGAAAGAGCGACCTCAGAGACTCCACCACCCTCCTCGGCAGCCCCCAAAGGCGTTGCAGCTTCATCTTCTGCACATGCAATTCGAGGCGGTTGCGGAAGCTCTGCGGAAGGCACAAGTCCTGCACCAGGACACGGGCAGAGACCCCCGGCTGCCTCAGGGGAAGCAGAGGGGGCGGCTCACAAACGAGGTACCTGAGCGACCTCTGGACAAGGACTGGGAAGCCCCACTCATGCTGGAGCCTCTTCCTGCTGACGTGACGCTCCAGAGCTGCTGCTTCCGTTCGTGGAAGGATCGTCACTTGCACTCCGCTGAAGGTGAAGGCTGTCCTCCTCCGCCTGGAAGGTCCAGGGGACCTCATTGCCCTAAGCGTCTCCGCATAGCGGGTGCCCAGCCCCCACAAGGATGCCAGGTGGTTGCATTTCACTGCCACTTCGATCCGGCTCACCTGCTCTGCGAACACCGAGAGAGGCAAGGGTCTGCGCGGCAGCAACGGCTTGTGGCCCGGGCGGATCACCTTGGGGAGAGGCCTCCTCAGAACGAGGAGCCTGTATCTCCAGGAGACTCTGACGGCAGCAGGGAAGACCTCCAAGTTCATCTCCAGGCTCTTCTTTGCAAGGTGGGGCTGCAGGACCACTTGAGTCTTGGCCAGCTGAGTGGGCAGGAGCAGCGGTGGGGCTGGAGCAACCATCCTCTGGGCCTTCTGCCTTCTCTGCCGACCGACAGCATAGGGCTTGGGGCCCGTTATGTTGCCAAGCTGACCCTGTGGGTAGAGGAGCTTCATGGAGTCAAGGACCCTCTGGGGCAGCCTCCAACGCTGGTTGACAATCCTTTTCTGCACATTCTTCTCCAGCTCTCTCTGGGTGGCCCTGCTGAGGAAGGAGAGCTCGGGTATGGAAATGGACACCTCACCAGCCCTGGCGTTCCTGGGGCGAACCTGATGGCAGGTTGATAGGAGGATCCGGAGGGACCTTTGAACGAGCCCCGGGATCCCCCAGGCGTGTTGCAGAGTCTTCTTTCTGACATGCCACTCCAGCTCCTCTCGGGCCTTCGGACAGAGGAACCGAATGTGTGTAGAGGTGAAGCCGAACGCTGCAGATCTTCTGGGCAAAGGGAAGGTGGGCGCTTGAAACACGGCACCCGGGAACAGCTGGGCAAGGGACCTATGGTACAGCGAGGGCAGCCCCAAGCGATAGGTCAACTTCTTGTGGGTAATGTTGAGCTGGATGTGACTGAGAGCTTGCAGGTCCAGAAAATGGATCTGCTGGGATCTCGGCTCTGGAGGTCTCAACCTGGGTGGGATGACTTTGGGGAGCGCAGGCTTCGGGGCTTGAGGGGAGGCTTTCCGAAACTGCTGGATTTTAGGAGCGGACACACCCAGCTGCGTCTCAAGGGCTCTCTTGGCCAAATTCTTCTGCAACGCCTGCTGCTTCCGGGCACAGCTCAGCGCCGAGCAACTCTCCTTTGCAAGCTTCTTGGAGGAGCTCGGCTTGGAGCCCGTTATGTTGCCAAGCTGACCCTGTGGGTAGAGGAGCTTCATGGAGTCAAGGACCCTCTGGGGCAGCCTCCAACGCTGGTTGACAATCCTTTTCTGCACATTCTTCTCCAGCTCCCTCTGGGTGGCCCTGCTGAGGAAGGAGAGCTCGGGTATGGAAATGGACACCTCACCAGCCCTGGCGTTCCTGGGGCGAACCTGATGGCAGGTTGATAGGAGGATCCGGAGGGACCTTTGAACGAGCCCCGGGATCCCCCAGGCGTGTTGCAGAGTCTTCTTTCTGACATGCCACTCCAGCTCCTCTCGGGCCTTCGGACAGAGGAACCGAATGTGTGTAGAGGTGAAGCCGAACGCTGCAGATCTTCTGGGCAAAGGGAAGGTGGGCGCTTGAAACACGGCACCCGGGAACAGCTGGGCAAGGGACCTATGGTACAGCGAGGGCAGCCCCAAGCGATAGGTCAACTTCTTGTGGGTAATGTTGAGCTGGATGTGACTGAGAGCTTGCAGGTCCAGAAAATGGATCTGCTGGGATCTCGGCTCTGGAGGTCTCAACCCGGGTGGGATGACTTTGGGGAGCGCAGGCTTCGGGGCTTGAGGGGAGGCTTTCCGAAACTGCTGGATTTTAGGAGCGGACACACCCAGCTGCGTCTCAAGGGCTCTCTTGGCCAAATTCCTCTGCAACACCTGCTGCTTCCGGGCACAGCTCAGTGCCGAGCAGCTCTCCTTTGCAAGCTTCTTGGAGGAGCTTGGCGTCTTCTTCTGAGGGAATGTAGGCGTCTCTCTAGGCTGTGAAGGTGGCTTCATTTGCCTAAGGGCCTCCTGCACCCTCTGGGGCAGCTGCCAATGCTTCATCTGGACCATTTTCTTCAGGTGGTGCTCCAGCCTCTTCTTTGCTCTCTCAGCCACAAAGGAGAGGGCTTGAGGACCCGTCACCACAGTAACACCCACAGGGCCCCGCTGGGGCACAGGACGCGGAGCAGAGGGCACAAAGCCTTGGAGGGACCTGAGGAGGGCTGAGGGCAGCCCCAGAAGGTGTTGCACCCTCTTCCCCAGCAGGTGCGATTCCAAGCTTGCTACCATGGCCTGGTCCAGAAAGGAGATGTCAGCTGCTGTAAACACGAACGCCTGGGCCCTGCTGGAAGATGGGTCCCTCGTGCTACGGGGGGTTTCACTCCTTCCCTCTTGAGGTGACGTCGTCTTGCGTCCCCGGCCATGGCTGGCCTCACTGGGCGAGCTCTGCGAGTACATTCTCATCCGGAGAAAGAAACTCTCTGTGTCTCTGCCGCTCATCTGGGATTCCGCAGAGCTCTTGACCCAGCCGGAGTCCCTACGGCGCTTGCGCGGTTTACGGGGAACCTGGCCACACCTGCAAGATTTGCCGCCCTCCAAGCTGCTGAAAGACAACTCGGACAGGTCGGAAGCAGACGCCGTCCTGCTCATCTGTGACATCTCTTGCGTAGTGGACGAGAAGAGGACTTCTTCCTCCTGTCCGATTAGGCCGCCAGAACGGTGGCTGCTTCCCCTTGAGCCCTCGGAAACACGCTCTGCGATGGAGAAGGTTTGCTCCCTATTGTCCGCTGGGAAGTTGGAGGGACGTAGAGGCCTGCCGCACGAGGCCGGTCTTGTCGGGGTGACGGGAAGATCTCTAGAGATGGGGTCAGGAGCGCTGGCACTCTGTGGGAAGGAATCAGGTGTGTCAAGCTGGAGCGGGCGCCCCACACAAGGCCCATGGGAGAGCGGGGCCCGGATGCTGGGGAAATTGTAGCCGCCTGCTCTGCTGCCGCTCATCAGCTGCGAGGCCTCCTGAGCTGCTTGCTCACACACCTTGCAGGCCACGTCATCACACAGCAGTTGGCGGACAGAGCTCCCAGGAGCCCTCTGGGCGATGCCGTCTGGTAGCCTGCAAAACACCTTGTGCTTGATACCTGCGATGGGAAGAAAAGGCTTTATTAGATTTCTAGACCACCGTTATCTTCCAAGGATCTCAAGGTGATGTTCATGATTCTCCTTCTCCCCATTTCATCCTCGCCACAACCCGCTGAGGTAGGTAAGGCTGGGGGATATCCGGTTCCCAACATTGTGATAGGTAAAGGACCCCTGGATGATTAAGCCCAGTCAAAGGTGACTATGGGGTTGCGGCACTCATCTCGCTTTCAGGCCGAGGGAGCCAGCATTTATCCACAAGCTGCTTTCCGGGTCATGTGGCCAGCAGGACTAAACTGCTTCTGCAGCAATGGAACACCGTGACAGAAGCCAGAGCACACAGAAATGCCGTTTACCTTCCCGCCACAGTGGTACCTACTTATCTACTCGCACTGGTGTGCTTTTGAACTGCTAGGTTGGCAGGAGCTGGGACAGAGCAACGGGAGCTCACTCTGTTGCAGGGATTCGAACCGCAATCTTCTGATCGGCAAGCCCAAGAGGCTCGGTGGTTTAGACCACAGCACCACCCGGTGTGATAGATCAACATTGTGATAGATGACAAGCTAAAAATCAGTGATATTCTGATTTATCACTATATCTGAAATAAGGACGGCTTCACGGTTTTCCTTGCATCGTGCTGAGGCAGCAGAGTTAACAGGCTGTAGGAATTGAGAGCAGCAATCGTTCGCTTCATGGCTTCCCCCACATTGTCCTTTTTGCATAGCAAACACACACACACACACACACATCATGGTTCGCAATATATTGCTAGGTCAAAAAACAATATCATGATATGGACCTCAAAATGGTTTTGGATGATACATTGATATATCGCCCAGCTCTGGAGGTAGGTTAAGCTAAGAAATAGTGACTGGCCCAAGGTCACCCAGTGAGTTTTGTGGCTGAGTGGGGATTCAAACCCTGCTCTCCCAGGTCAAAGCCCAAAACTCTAACCGTTACGCCACCCTGGGGCTCCTGCTCCCAGTTAATGGCGCCCTTCTGCAGTTTTGTCATGGTGAATTTATCTTCTTTCTTTCGAACTTTAATAAGTAATCAAGAGAGTTCACAGCAAAGCAAAGAAACAGGTGGCAACTTCCTGTTAGAGATCCATAGGATATGGCTGGATATGACCTTGGGACGTGAAGTCCCTCTCTACCTGGTTTCTGATGGACTACGATGAAATGGCAAAAATTACCAGGAATTACAATATTTTAAGCCACCCCTGCCAAAAAAATAAAAATTAAAGCCCCCTATCCAGGCAAAAAGGCCATGGATAGTTAAAAGCCCCAAAGGCCTGATTAAAAGAGGAATGTTTTTGCCTGGTGCCTAAGCATATGTGACAAGGGCACCAGGCGAGTCACCATGGAAAAGCCTGTATTTCAAGTGTGAATTTCTTCCGGTATGCACATTTGTATGTGATTTTGCTGGATAGAATTTTTATCCCAAAGAAAATGGGAGAAGCGCAAATCTCAAAGAGAGGCTGGGCTTTCCTTCTCCCGCCGCTTCTTGCCAAGGGTGAATGAGGCAGGATCGCCTGGGAATGCAAACGGAATCGAAATTCTCCCTTCTTCCCATGACCAGCTTGGCAATGTCCCAAATGCAGAATTACGACTGGAGGCAAGTCTTCCCTCTGTAGAAGCTCAGTCCTGGCAAAGAACTCTTAATTATTGGCTCCGTCTAAATCTAAATCCACCCGGTCTACTGCCCTTAGTGACACAAGACCCCCATAAAAGTGTGTGGTCCAAAATTGTGCACCAAAAATTCATCTCCTGCGGACTCCACCCACATCAGCTTCTCATGAGGGGCCTTATTAAAGCAAAAAGGCTAATTGGACAGCGTCTGAAGGACTTAGAGCAACAGAACAATCTGGCCATTATAAAGAAATTCTGTCCTTGGTATGCCTTTCCCCCCCTTCTTAGTTTGATTCCCTGGCACCATATTTGTATAAATTAACTATCCCAAAATACAGATGTGCCTTCTTCACACTGGCCAGACTGGATGTGATGCCCTCTGCCGTACTTGAGGGCAGATACCAAAAGATTCCAACTGAGAAACGACTCTGCCCCTGTGGAGATGGCAATCTGGAAACAGCGGCTCATATTCTCCTGTCCTGCCCCCTTTATGAAGATCTGAGGAATGAGATCATCACCCCACTCTTACTCACCATCCCAGGCCGCCCATCTGAGGCCACATTGGTCTTTCTTTTATCAGATCAAAATGATCAGACAACAGCAAAGGTTGCTAGGTTCATCGAGGGTGCAATGAGATTAAGGGCCACTATCTGAACGATAATCTTGGTCATTTGATTGCCCTTTTTACCCATTGCTGTCTTTTTTATTTGTATATATTTTATTTGTATATATCGCTTGTTTTATGTTGCTATGGCCGTTGGCTAATGCAAATAAAGTTTATCCTATCAAAGGTCTGCACCCGAGGAAAGGAGCTGCGGCGAAGGAGCTGGGGGCCTGGAAGGAGACTTCTTACCTTCCTCGATCTTCTTCCGCCAGTCTGTGACCTTCCGAAAAAACTGCAACGAAGGAAGAAGCACAAGCAGAGAGAGGTGTCTGTCTTGGCAGGGAACAAGGGAACAGGAGGCCTCTGTCTTTGTTTCTTCTCACAGCCCTCCCAGACCCAAAAGACTTATTAACCTACATCAGAGGTTTTCAAGCAGGGTGCCATGGCCTTGAATTGTGGTCAGGGGCAGCACTGGCCTCAGCCCTCTTCCTTTCCCTTCCCTCTCTCCTCTGATGCCCTCTTGCATCTCTGATCCCAAAGGCTTGCACAGCTGTTTGTTGCAGCAGCCCTGGCTCCAAGCTCCCCGGGCAAAGGCTCGGTGGGCCAGCCAAGGAGACTGACTTACCCGTTCTGCGAGAGAAAGGAGCTTTGGTGAAATTTCGGGGCAGAACGAAGGACGTCTGCAGTTTTTCCGCAGCCAGGAGTAAGCGCTGGCCAACATAGGGAAACCTCCCAGAAGTTTCCACATGAAATAGAGGACTAGCACCAAGACGGCATTCTTGCTCAGGGAGGAGAGCAATTTCCAAAGGAGAGCGATGCTTTTGTAGGAAACCATCTCCAAAGTCGAAACAAAAATCCACGGCATTGCGTTCCTGGCCAATGCTGGAGTTGCTTCTGAGCCGGATGCCGGGAGCATTCTGGAGCGCATCACAAACGTTTCCGTGCAGGCGGAAAACACCTTTATTGCATCATCGTTGAACGTAAGAAAGGTCTGCTGGATCCAGCCAAAAGGAACCCATCTAGGGCAGCCAACCATTTGACGTGTGACGGAGACCTGGGTACGGGAAGGCGAAGTAGTCTCCCTACATGAGATAACACCACCAGGTTTCTCTGTCCTCCATCAATCGCGGACTGTGGGTCGGGGGGGGGAGGAGTAGCGTTGTTAATCCGGGAGGATTGCTCTTTCAGAGCTCTGCCATCACCGGCGATCTCCGGCATTTAATGTGTTGGTCTCGTGTGGGGCACCAAGGAGAGCTTGGCTGTCTGGCTGGTGTACCGACCACCCAGCACACCTGCAGCCACCCTGTCAGACCTGCTGGAGGTGGTGGCGGGCTGGGCCTTGGAGTTCCCAAACCTACTGGTTTTGGGAGACTTCAACGTCCATGCCGATGCCGCTCCCTCCTCACAGGCTCTGGACCTAATGACTTCCATGGCAACACTAGGGCTCTCCCAGTTTGTTTTGGGCCCCACTCATCAAGCAGGCCACACGCTGGATCTAATCTTTGGGGCTGGCATAGATGTGATCATGCTCCCCCCTGTGGAAGTGCCATGGTCTGATCACTAAAAGTGCCATGGTCTGATCACTCTGAAAGCCAAGATTGACTTCCTGCTCCTCCCCTGCTCGGGTGGCAAACCTATTTGGGGCTCGTCTGCGAGAACTGATGGATCCTGATAGATTCCGACAAGACCCTGCTCCTCCTGGCGACTCATTAGATGACCTTGTTGAGGACTGGAATAACCGGCTCTTGGCAGCCATAGAAGAAATCGCGCCTAAGCGCCCTCTGCGACCCTGTCGAAACCGGGCCCCTTGGTTTACTGAGGAGCTCCGGAAAATGAAGCGGGATCTCAGACGGCTAGAGCGAGTATGGCGACGGACTCGTGACGGAGCCTCAAGAACATCTTATAGGACGCTTATGAAAGCCTATGAGATGGCTATGAAAGCTGCTAAGAAATCTTACTTTGCAGCTTCCATTGCATCCGCTAGCTCTCGCCCAGCACAACTTTTTAGAATAATTAGATCAATAACGTCCTTAGGAGGACAACCAAATTTAAGCACAAATTCGACCCACAGCTGTGAGGCATTCACGAGCTTTTTTGCGGAGAAAGTCCTGTTGCTCCGCTGTGACCTCCCTGCCAATTTAGATACAGTGACTGAACTGGAGGCCCCTCGACTGACTTCAGGTCCAGTGTTGGACCATTTCGATCGAATACTCCCTGCTGATGTGGATAGATTCCTCCAAGTTGGTACGCCCACCACCTGCCTCCTTGATCCGTGCCCGTCTTGGCTGATTAGGAAGTGTCCAGATGTTGCACAGACCCCCCTGGTTGAAATTATCAATTTGTCCCTTGACACAGGGACATTCCCAGGGGAACTGAAGGAAGCAGTGGTATGTCCACTCTTAAAGAAAACTTCATTAGATCCCTTAGACCTATCCAATTACCGCCCAGTTTCAAATCTTCCATATGTGGGTGAGGTAATTGAGAGAGCGGTTGCTGAACAGCTTGGTAGGTTTCTGGAGGAAACATCGACTTTAGATCCATTTCAGTCCGGTTTCCGTCCTGGTTTTCAGACTGAGACGGCTCTGGTTGCCCTAACAGATGATCTCCGTAGACAGCTGGATCGAGGCGGGTCAGGACTGGTGATCCTTTTAGATTTGTCAGCAGCCTTTGACATGGTCGATCATGATCTTCTGGACCACCGCCTCGCAGACGTGGGGATACAGGGCATAGCCCGTAACTGGCTGTGCTCTTTTATCTCTGGTCGGGGACAGAGGGTGGCACTAGGGAGGGAAATGTCGTTGCGCCACTCCTTGGTGTGTGGAGTGCCGCAGGGCGTAGTCCTCTCCCCGATGCTTTTTAACATCTTTATGCGCCCCCTTGCCCAGATTATCCGGAGCTTTGGGCTGGGTTGTCACCAATATGCTGATGACACTCAGCTCTATCTGCTGATGGATGGCCACACCGACTCGGTCCTGAACACACTGACCAGATGCTTGGAAGCTGTGGCTGGATGGTTTCGTGGGAGCCGATTGAAACTAAATCCTTCGAAGACAGAGGTCCTATGGCTGGGTCGGGATGGCATGGGGATGAGGGACCAACTCCCTTCTCTTGCGGGGCCCAATTAGTGCCATTGCCTTCCGTTAAGAGTTTGGGTGTAATCCTTGACGCCTCCCTTTCCATGGAGGCGCAAGTTACAGCAACAGCCAAGGCGACATTTTTCCACCTTCACCGCATCAAGCAGTTGGTCCCTTACCTTTCCCGCCCCAACCTGACCACAGTGATCCATGCGACGGTAATATCCAGGCTTGACTACTGTAATTCGCTCTATGCGGGGCTGCCCTTGAAGCTGTCCCAGAAACTCCAGCGGGTGCAGAATGCTGCAGCGAGGCTCCTCACGGGGTCCCTGCCATGGCAGCATATTCACCCAGTGCTTTTCAAGCTGCACTGGTTCCCGGTGGAGTACAGGGTCAGATTTAAGGTGCTGCTTTTGACCTTTAAAGCCCTTCATGGCCTAGGACCCTCGTACCTATGGGACCGCCTCTCCCGGTCTGCCCCACGGAGAGCCTCAAGGTCCATAAATAGCAACACCCTAGTGGTCCCGGGCCCTAAGGAAGTTAGATTGGCTTCAACCAGAGCCAAGGCCTTTTCAACTCTGGCTCCGGTCTGGTGGAACGCTCTGCCTCATGAGACCAGGGCCCTGCAGGACCTTTCTTTCCGCAGGGCCTGTAAGACAGAGTTGTTCCGCCTGGCCTTTGGCTTGGAGCCAATTTGATTCCCTCCCTCTCTTTCTTTTTTCTTTTCCTTCTCCTCCTGCGATGAGGCTACATTTTAATATTTTAATGTTTCAATATTTTAATGTTGTATTTTTAATTTTGTTTTTAAGTTGTAATCATTTAACTTGTTTTTATTATTGCTTGTAAGCTGCTCTGAGCCCGGCCTTGGCTGGGGAGGGCGTGGTATAAATAAAAATTATTATTATTATTATTATTATTATTTGCCCCAGTGGGAAAACCCACAAGCAGGATCGGAGCACAAGAGCCATCTAGCAACTGGGATGCAGAAACACTGCTGCGTCCAACTGGGGATAGCAGCCATCGATAACTGTCTCCACCATGAATTTGTCCAATCCTATAATAATAATAATAATAATAATAATAATAATAATAATAAATGTTTATTTATACCCCACCCTTCCTGGTTAAAAAACCAGGCTCAGGGCGGCTAACAGCAAATATAAAACATTGATTAAAATACGACTTAAAAACAGCATAAAACACAACATAAAATGCAGCATCAATATCAATAACATTCAAAAATTCAGCGGTAATTCTTTGGGGGGAAACAAACAAACCCCAGTCAGTAGACATCAAATGATCACCAGGGCTAACTGGCCAAGTTGGTCCTACTATGGCCTAACCCGAAAGTCCGTTGCCCTGTTGTTATCTTTTCATTTAGCAGCCTAACAGCCCACGGATAGAAGCTCTTGTTTACCCTGTTGGTGCGACTAATCCTGATTCTACATCTTCTGCCCGAGGGCAGGAGATCAAGAAAGTGCCGGCCAGGGTGTGAATCATCCCTGATAATTTTCTTCACTCTCCTGAGGCAACGTTCTTCCGCAATGTCATCCAGCAGATTCTCGGGACAGCCCATAATTTCTTGTGCTGTATTCACCACCCTCTGTAGGAAGATCCTGAAGCTGAGGCTCCAAGACTTTGGCCACCTCATTTGAAGAGAAGACTCCCTGGAAAAGACCCTGATGTTGGGAAAGATGGAGGGCGCAAGGAGAAGGGGACGGCGGAGGACGAGATGGTTGGACAGTGTTCTCGAAGCTACGAACATGAGTTTGACCAAACTGCGGGAGGCAGTGGAAGACAGGAGTGCCTGGCGTGCTCTGGTCCAGGGGGTCACGAAGAGTCGGACACGACTAAACGACTAAACAACAACAACAGTTCAGACTGCGCAAGAAAGGAAATGGCAGGGCCAAGAGAGGAGAGTCAGACAGACAAAGAGAGGAGTTTGCCTGAAATCCGGTGCCAGCTCTAAGAGGCTGAGGTCCCTGAAGGAAGGTGAGGACAGGTGACCTCACCTAGGCTCGAAGTCACCCCCCACCAAAGCAGGCTCAAAGCTTCTCAAAGCTTTTCAAAATCATTTTCTCAGCAGCTAAGCATCGGAAACATTCCGCTCTGCTGTAACAAAAGGTAGAGAACAGTCCGTTGTTTCTCAGGCCTTTCTCATGTCTTCTAGCCTTGCTAAAGAACCACAATGCAACTTACTTTCTGTCCAGGAACCATGCTAGAACAAGAGATTGAAACATATTTGAACACTCTGAAACCCCTTTCCTGGGAAGGGTGCCAAGAGTCCACAATAGTCCCAAGACAGCTTTCTGTTCATGCTCAGAGGAACTCCTGAGGGAGGAGAAAGGGGGAGGGAACTGGAAAGGGGTATATATGCTTGTGCACATGATTGTGAAGTCGTGCATGCTTTTCGTGACTTATCACACTTGCTCCTTCTACCAGTTCATGGATGGTAGAAATAAAAGCCTTTTCTCCGAAACTATTCCTTGAGTGTCTGTTGACTCCCACTTCCCTTTCCCAGGCGCAATATTTTTCCCACCCGAGGGCAAAGCCTCATAAGGCTACATTTCTTTGCCCTTCCCGATAAAATATTTGAGGGGGCTGGGCCCCCCCAAGGTTGATGGGCATTGCCATTCAAATGGTATGGGTGAGGCCCGTCCTGTGATCACTTATGTGGGGTTGGGGCTTACCTGCCCCCCAATATTTTATTCAAGTTGGCACTCCTGCTCCTGAGGTCCACACTCTTAGCAGCATAAGGAAGAGCCCCCATTGTACCCATGGCTTTGTTTTGGCCCTCTCTCCAAAGTCTCTGTCTGCTTTCAGGGCTCAAAAAGGCCCTAAAAGCAGACAGGGCCTGCGGGAGGCCGTGGAAGACAGGAGGGCCTGGCGTGCTCTGGTCCAGGGGGTCACGAAGAGGCGGATATGACTAAACAACAACAATACGTTTGTTGTTATTGTTTATCTGTTTATTGTTCCTTTCCCCCCCCCTATAATAATAATAATAATAATAATAATACTATAATAATATCTTTATTGTCATTTGCTTCTCTTGGGGACAACGAAATTACTTGACTGCTCCATAAAAACACTAATTAATCAATACAGTATAATACAGCAAAGGAGATTAGATGACTTTCAAAGTCTGGGCTTCCCATTCAGGGCCGAGATCGCTCTGGAGAAGAAGCTGTTCTTAAGACCGGCTCATTCTTGTCTTCATCGTCCTGTATCTCCAGTCCCAGACAGCAAGAGCTCGAAGAGACAGTCACCAGGATGCGATGGATCTTTTACTATGTCCAGTGCCTTCCTATGGCACCTTGTGGCATAAATCTGCTCTAAGGTGGAGAGTGGGCAGCCAACAATGCTCTCTGCTGCCTTAACAACCCTGCACAACCCCATCCTGTCCTGGGTACAGGACATCCTTTCCCCCCTTTTTTCGTTCATTCATGTATTTTTCTTTTTTTCTGTTTTTGTGTATCATTTTGCTTTGTGGTTTTTGTTATTATTGTGGACAATCTAATATTTATTAATTTTTTTAAAAAAGAAAAAACTCTGAAATGAAGAATTTTCATTTTGGAAAAAGAGCGACTCGCTGAGAGTTTTTCTCCTCCGCCCGCGGAACCCCCCCCCCCCCCGGGGTGGATCTCATTCGCAAGGACCCCGCGCATCTTCCGCGGCTGGGATCTCCATCTCCCGCAGCGCCCCCTGCAGGCGGCCAGCCCGCCCTGCGCGGCCCGCCCGTCTGCGGCAGGGGGAGGGGCCCGCCGCGCCCTCGCCCAATCGCTCGTCGGGGGAGGCGGGGCTTCCCTTCGCTGCCTGTCTCTCTCTTTCGGCCCGCCTCCTTCCGGCTCCCCGCAAGATGGCCGCCCGGCCGCGCGTGCGCAGTGAGGACGAGTACCGCCCTCTCGTCGCTTCCGCTGCCTGAGAGGCGAAGAAGGCGAGCGAGCGAGCGAGGCGGCTGCCGCTCCGTCTGTCCGTCCTCCGGCAGGTATGTCCCTTTTGCCTCCGCCTGGAATGCCGGAGAGGAGGGCGTGGAACGGGGAGGCCGCGGGGGCGGCGCGTCTGTCTCCCTCCCAGCAGACGAGGGAGCCTCTGGGCGCGTGCAGAGAGCCGCCCCCCCCCCGGCAGGAAAACACTCTGCGCATGCTCAGGGGCGCCCTCTGCCGGCTTTGCCTAAAAGAGCTGCGGTACCTCGAGGTGGGGGGTTGTTGTGTGTGTGCGCATATATATATACATACGTATGTATGTATGTATGTATGTATTTTTTGTGTGTATATATGTGTGTGTGTGTGCGCGCGCGCGCGCCTATATATATATATATATATACACATATGTATTTTGTGTGTGTGTGTGTGTGTGTATATATATGTATATGTGTGTGTCTGTGTGTGTATATATATGTATATGTGTGTGTGTCTGTGTGTGTGCGCATATATATATATATGTATTTTGTGTGTGTGTATATATGTGTGTGTGTGTGTGTGTGTGCGCGCGCATATATATATATATATATATATGTATTTTGTGTGTGTGTATGTGTATGTGTCTGTGTGTGTGTATATATATATGTATGTGTGTGTGTGTGTGTGTGTGTGCGCATATATATATATGTGTGTGTATTTTGTGTGTGTATATATGTGTGTGTGTGTCTGTCTGTCTGTTTATGTATATACAGTGGTACCTCGGGTTAAGTACTTAATTCGTTCTGGAGGTCCGTTCTTAACCTGAAACTGTTCTTAACCTGAAGCACCACTTTAGCTAATGGGGCCTCCCGCTGCCGCCACGCCGCCAGAGCACGATTTCTGTTCTTATCCTGAAGCAAAGTTCTTAACCTGAAACACTATTTCTGGGTTAGCAGAGTTTGTAACCTGAAGCGTATGTAACCTGAAGCGTATGTAACCCGAGGTACCACTATATGTGTGTGTGTGTGTGTGCATGCAGTCTTTTGTGTATAGATAGATGTGTACCTCTTTGTGTACTTGTACTGCATCGTTGTCTCCCTCTCCTCCCTGCGTGCATGCACACAACCACCCCGCGAGGTAGGACAGGGACGAGGCAGGCCATGTGTGAGTGTCTTCCAAGGCCACAACTGAGTAGGAGGATCCGGGCCCTGGTCTCCCCCCCCCCCCAGGTGCTAGTCCAGCACCCTCAGCACTCAGCTTTGGGGGTGGCCCCTGAGCACTCAACCCCCCATCCATCCCCTATGAACCACATGCTCATCTCAGCCATCCTGGCAGCACAGTATTGGGGAGTCCCCGAGACCTCTGGAAGCGACAGAGTTGAAGGAGGCTGCCCTTTCGGATCCCCAGCCTTAAGCATGTCTGCATCTGCCTCCATCCTTTTTGAGGTCTCCCTCCCTCCTCTTTCATTGTAATCTGCTGAGAGGCAGAGGCCTGACTTGTGATCCCCTAAAATGCATAAACCGCCTGTGGTTGGATAACATGGCATTCGGTCCAGAGTTGGCATTTGGGGCAAATCTTTTTTCTGACACCAGCTCAAAAGTTGCGGGGCTCTGCTTTTCACTCCACGGTCCGCGGCAGCAACGCTTCATCCGAAGATCTCGGGACGGTTCACAGCATAAAAATACAAGATAAAAACAAAAAATACATTTAACAAGTACAGTGGTACCTCGGGTTAAGAACTTAATTCATTCTGGAGGTCCGTTCTTAACTTGAAACTGTTCTTAACCTGAAGCACCACTTTAGTTAATGGGGCCTCCCACTGCCCCTGCACAATTTCTGTTCTCATCCTGAAGCAAAGTTCTTAACCCAAGGTACTATTTCTGGGTTAGCAGAGTCTGTAACCTGAAGCGTCTATAACCTGAAGCGTCTGTAACCCGGGGTACTACTGTACAAAGAAAGAAACAACCAATGACCCCCTCTTGGCTTTCTATTTAGAGTTTAGCTCCCCTCACTTTCCTCCCCTTTTTGGTCACTGTTAGGAGATGGAAGGGTGGAGTGCATGAAACCCTGATCAGTGAAGCAATTGCTTTGCTACATATTCATAGTATTTTATTTTCTTAGCATTAATTGAGTCCCTGGATTTATTTGTGACTGTTGTGTCTTTCCCTTGCCCCCATCCGGCCAGCTCAACCCAGGTGCCTGCAGTGGGGATCATGGAGAACTATCAGAAGTCCAAGACTGTGGAGAAGCCGTCGCCTCTTCCCTTCACCAACTTGCCCTCCGATATAATTGAAATGAAAGTGAAGGACGGCAGCAAAATCCGGAACCTGATGGGCTACGCCATTGGCAAGATGGAGTCGGAGGCCATGCGGCAGGTCCTCTTCAGTGGCGCCGGCAAGGCCATCAGCAAGACCATCACCTGCGTGGAGATCATGAAGAGAAGGCTCCAAAACCTCCACCAGATCACCAAAGTGTTCTTTAGGCAAACGGAGGAGATCTGGGAGCCCATTGTGCCAGAGGCCGGCCTTGATTCTTTGACTGTGAAGCGGAATATTCCTGCCATTTGTGTCTTGCTGAGCAAAGATCCGCTGGACGCTCAAGAGCCAGGCTACCAGGCTCCCGGGTCTTTTGACGCCTTCTGGTTAGAAACGCTGAAAGCATCAGAGTCCCAGGGCCAGGCCAAGAGGAAGCAGGGGGGAGGCAGAGGGGCCGCTCACGCTCGGAAGCTTCCCCGCTCTGGTAGACGGGAGGACTCTTACAAAAAGCCCTGAGCAAGCCCAGCTTCAGAACGGCAGCAACTGCTCCCCAAGACAAGGAAAGCCGGCTGGTTATCAGAATAAAGTGGGAGGCGTTAGAAACACTGGCTGCATCTGGAGGAAAGGAAAGGAGAGTCTGTCTGAATTTAGAAGTCGGCTGGCGTTGGGCAGACTGAGACGGGGTCTTGTGTTGTGGCTTTCCCCCTCATTTGAATAGGGGACAAACAGGAAATGCGTCACTGGGTTGTGCCCGGCATGTTCACGATTTGGGTGCTTGAAATGGCAATGTGCAGAATCTTTCTTCGTGGGAAGGATAATGAAAACAGGGAGGAAGTCCCATTACCTGTCTCTTCTCCTGATGCTGCAAGGGCCTATCCCTTCCCCATCTAACCCTCTTCTGTTCATATGAACAAGATCAGCAGATTACTGCAACCCCGGGATATATTTTCACATTGTCATCGGAAAACATTGCTGGTTTCCTTGTGGCCTGAGGGCCTCCATGCTTTTAGATTTTCTTGCTTTTGCATTAAGGTCCTGGGCATTCAAAGGAAGCGATACAGCACAAAGGTGAGAGGCGAGTGCCTCGTGTGTGATTGTGCCAAGGGACTTCCTGATGTACCTGTACATGAAAACGTAGCATCTCATCAGGTGTTTGTAACTTAAGAGCTAGGAGTTGGACGCAATGTAATTTTGTTCAGCGAGTTTTATTTTTGTCTCCAAAGCAGTCTTGCCAGTAAAAGATACCAGGCCATTAAAAGGTTTACTGCTCATCCACATACCTGACGTTGCTCTGTCATCTCTGAACACATCAACCCCCAACTCCCATTCCATCTAAGGTGCTGCACTGCTTCCTCTCTCTTGTGGTCTTAATACACCTTGCTCAGTTCTTCTCTGGACCTGTCAGGGGCTCGTACTCCAAGGACCTCCCTTGGGGTGAGGGGTGGAGATTGAGGACTTGGTTCTTCTGTCCTCCTCGCTTCAAAAAGTGCTAGAAAGGGCTGACAATTAAGCCAGTAAAGGTAATAATTCAAATTTATTGTTATCTCCGAACTTGACAGCTGATTATTCATTCAGGAGGGCTGTCCAAAGACTAAATTGAGATTACCAGTCCTTAGTTAGTTGAGGACTCTTGATTTACCTTTGCCAGGAGAAAATCCCATGTTTTATTTAATAAGGCAAGGTAAAAGGAATTAAGAATTGAACGTTGCCTGTGGGTGAGCAAGAAGTATTGGTCCCAAACACCCTGTGATCTTGCTCCTTGGAGAACAAGTGGTGTTTGCATGATAGCGACTTTGGGAGTCCTTGAAGTTATCAGCCTTGTGAAGTTGCAGCCGCTGCCTGAACTGAGTTGCCCCTGATAATATCTGGGTGCTGTTCCTCTTTTGCATCATTGCTGTCACCCTCGCTTCATTCTGTCCTCTGCCTCTTTGAAACACTTTCTTCCAGACTGTGACTGTGTCTGAATGTTGCCGTCTGCCTGTCAGGTCTGTTTCCTAAACTCATCTTTCCCTTTGAAGTGGCTTTCCTTAATCTTTCATGCTGTTTGCTGCGTGTAATTTGAGGTGGGATGTGTCTGCCAGTTCCCTTAAAATATTCACAAAGCCCCCTTCAAGCCCAAGGAAACCTTGCCTTTGATACTGAAGGCTGGCACTGCCACGTTGCATTGTATATGGGCCAATTATATGGGCTGGGTGGTCAGCCTGGATTCCCTCTAGAAACCAAAGCAGAGGAAGGCAGAATGTTGCTCATGGTCCCCTAGTCAGTTTCTGCTGGAATGAAGAGATGATGGATCCCTTCAGCTTGCATGAGCTGCTGGGATCAAGGGTTATTAATCCTCTGTGTCTGCCTGGAATGTGCTTTGTTCCTGATGCTTGCTTTTCCACCTAGAAGTCCCTATCCACGTCAGGAGGGGCAAAGCAACTGAGTTCCATTTTCTAAGGCAGCCTCTGAACTCTCCTTCTGGGTCATTCTGGCTGCTGCTAGACAGTTGATTGCCTGCTGACAGCAATCCAGCCTGGAGAAGGAGTCTGTGCCTCTGACGTTCTACCTAGACGTCATTACTGTGCCATTAAAGACTTCCTCTTGGCTGCTCAGGAGCAGTAGGGGCAGCAGATCTGAAGCAGGCACTGAGACCCAAGACAAGGTCTTCCCCAAATAAGATGCATCACCCCAGAAGCTCCTGAGGACCCAGCAACCAAGCCAGCTCTCAAATGCCTCAATGACAACTATTTCTCATTGGCATGAGAGAAACCGCCATTTTGTCATAATGGCCGAGAGATTAAGCCACGCATCAGGCACTCCCGGGCTTGAAAATCACCTCTGCTGTGGACTTCATAGTTGGGCCCAAGGTCAGAGTTATTATCCCCACTCCCAGTACAGTGGTACCTCGGGTTAAGTATTTAATTCATTCCAGAGGTCTGTTCTTAACCTGAAACTGTTCTTAACCTGAAGCACCACTTTAGCTAATGGGGCCTCCTGCTGCCGCCATGCTGCCGGAGCAAGATTTCTGTTCTCATCCTGAAGCAAAGTTCTTAACCCAAGGTACTATTTCTGGGTTAGCGGAGTCTGTAACCTGAAGCGTATGTAACCCGAGGTACCACTGTAGTCCAGAGAGGGGGAGCTGAGAGAGCCTTGCATATCGTAAATGGTTTAAAACCAGGCTTCCTCAACCTCGGCCCTCTAGGTGTTTTGAGACTACAATTCCCAGCATGCCTGACCACTGGTCCTGCTAGCTAGGGGTCATGGGAGTTGAAGGCCAAAAACATCTGGAGGGCCGAGGTTGAGGAAGCCTGGTTAAAACACTAAATGCAGCTCTTTGAACATTACTGGTTATTGGAGTGTAGCATGTTCTGGATGGGTTTAGCCCTCAAGTCGCTTTCCTTCAAGCCACCACAGCATGGAACGCACAAACAGTGAGCTTTAAAAGATGCTTAAGCACTGGGGCAGTGGATGGGTTCACTTAGAATAACTTTAAAAGAGCCATAGCTGTAGGAAGATTTGCCAGGAAAATTGAGATTTACCTGAAGCTCTTTGCTGTGCTGAAATGTCCCACCAGGGGGTGCCTGGCATTCTCCATGCAAAAAATGGCTGTAAGCCTTGATTAATTTCTGCTCCAGTTCCCTTGCAAACTGACACGGCTGATCTATGGGTTTAATAAAGCAGTCTTTTGACAGCATCTTAAGTAAGCCTCATCCTTTGGCCTGGGGCAGAGGAAGATAATCTGTGGACAGTATTTTCCTACAGAGTCAAAGGTCCTGCCAGAAATCAGCATGAGTCCCAGGTTAGAACAGGTTAGAGATGTCAGCTGGGCTGTGGAATAAGGGAGGAGGTATCTGCTATCGGACAAGCAGCCCCTAAAGTGTACCAGTTTAGGAAGCAGTTTGGGGGGCAGGGGAGTAGCGTTGAGACTGGCAGGGCCCAGAGGAAGTGGGCAAGGGCACCTGGTGGTTCAGGTGGCAGAGCTTGGCTGTGTCCGGTGGTTTAGGAGGGGCAAGGTGGAGATTGGTATATTCAAAACAAAACAAATAGCTCTCAGGCCAAGCTGGAAATGGCCTGTCTCCCTTCTGGACGTGGTTCTCCCCCCTGGAGACTCCACAAAGGAGGCTAAAATGCTGAACCCTCAAATGAGTCCGGAGACTGGACCACTCTGTTTTCATCCACAGCACTAATGGGCAGGTTTGGCTCTAGCTGAAAAGTGTGGAGATGGGTGAAATAATTTTAATTAACCTGTGGCGACCCACTTCTTTATCCAGGAGGCAGAGATGGTCCCCAAGCTGGATCTCTTTACAAGAGGATTAGTCAAATTCAAGGAGAAGAGGGCTAGGACCCTCATACCTGCGGGACCGCCTCTCCTGGTATGCCCCACGGAGGACCTTAAGGTCCATAAATAGCAACACCCTAGAGGTCCCTGGCCCTAAGGAAGTCAGATTAGCCTCAGCCAGAGGAAGGGTCTTTTCAGCACTGGCCCCGGCCTGGTGGAACACTCTGTCTCATGAGACCAGGGCCCTGCAGGATCTGATTTCTTTCCGCAGGGCCTGTAAGACAGAGTTGCTCCGCCTGGCCTTTGGCTTGGAATCAACTTGATCCCCTTCCCCTGTTTCCTTTTTCCTTCTGTGATGGAACTCCTATATGGGGACTTCCCTGGCTTTTTTCTGGCCCATGTAGGACCAGTCTGGATAGTTAGCTTTGGTGAAGACTTGATGTTTTTATCCCCCCAAAAGTTTTTGATTTGAGTTTCCACCGAAAGGAAGCTGCATTTTAATGTTTTAATGTTGTATTTTAATCTTGTTTTTTAAGTTGTATTTCAATTGCTTTATATTGGGTGTTAGCTGCCCTGAGCCCAGTCTTGGCTGGGGAGGGCTGGGTAGAAATAAAAAAAATTATTATTATTATCGTCATCATCATCGATGGCTATACTCTGCCTCCTCAGTCAGAGGCAACAATACTTCTGAATCCCTATTGCTGTAAAACTCAAGCGGAAAGAGGGCTCTTGTGTTCAAATCCTGCTTGCGAGTTTCCCCTTGGGGCATCTGGTTGGCCCCTGTGAGAACAGGATGCTGGAATAAATGGGCCATTGGCCTGATCCCGCGGGCTCTTCTTATGAAAGGCCCAGGTAGGAGAGGAATGGAGGACCTGTGCCCCCAACTATTTCTGGACTCAGGTCAGAGGCCATAAGTTTCCTACCTCTAAAGTAGTCTCTTTAACGTAGGTTGCCGAAGAGGGAGAGGTGGAAGAGATTGTGCACGGGGTGCGGTTTGCCCACAAGGATCCAGAAAGCTTTGCAAACGTGGTGGGCTCAGAAATGCTGACCAAAAGTTAGAAAAGATCAGGATTAGGCTTTGGAACAGAGGTCATCAGCTTGGTGCCCTTTGAGGATGTGGAATTAACAACGCCCACCAGCTGCAGCTACAAGGGCCAGTGGACAAAGATTATGGGAGTGTTCAAGAACATCTGGTAGCAGCTCCTCTTCCAGACGATGCCAGCAGATTTCAGGCGTTTGCAAAAAAATTGCAGCA